CATTAGTGTGTGAAGTCATGCGAGATGTATTACCTAGTTTGCCACTGAAATGTGACATCATGTTTCTGATTACATGCATGTTTATAAGTGCATGCATGTTTATAATTACATCATGTCCACATCTCAACTGTCACTTCCTCATGAACAAACTGTCACTTCCAATGGCTGTGGATTGTACCCGTTTACCTGCCTGGAACTCGTAAAACCGAATGCTTGAGCGTTCTCTGGCGAGAAGGTTTGGGGGACGTGGAGAAAGAGGGAGTTTTTGTTTTTTTCTTGACCAGTGTGAGGGAATGTTTTGAAATGTTTTGAGAAACTGGAGTGTTTCTTTTGATAAGACAGAGCCTTGAAAGGCGTTTTTCGAATTTTATGCCTGTGCCTGCTAAACTCGGTGTGGCGAGTAATGCAGGAGGCATTGGGGGGCGATATATTTCCCTTGGTTAGGCGGGGGATTTATTATCGTTGAGACCCCTCTCCAAGGATTGGAGTTTTGTGATACAGAAATTTTTAAATATGTTATTTCTATTGATAAAACTGGTCTTGCTAGAGCGCAGAAAAAGGACTTGGCACTGTCTTTGGTAATCCGCCAGTAATCCGCCCCCGGGTTTAAAAACATGTCAAGGGTTTTCTGCCTTAGCATTTCGGCTTCAGCTCCCACACCTCCCGCCCTTGAGAGGGAGAAAGAGGGAGTTTTTGTTTTTTTCTTGACCAGTGTGAGGGAATGTTTTGAAATGTTTTGAGAAACTGGAGTGTTTCTTTTGATAAGACAGAGCCTTGAAAGGCGTTTTTCGAATTTTATGCCTGTGCCTGCTAAACTCGGTGTGGCGAGTAATGCAGGAGGCATTGGGGGGCGATATATTTCCCTTGGTTAGGCGGGGGATTTATTATCGTTGAGACCCCTCTCCAAGGATTGGAGTTTTGTGATGCAGAAATTTTTAAATATGTTATTTCTATTGATAAAACTGGTCTTGCTAGAGCGCAGAAAAAGGACTTGGCACTGTTTATATATATATATATATATACATATTTTGGTAGCAAACCCAAAAAGATAGAAAAATCAATTGCTGCTAGAGCACAGATCAAATATTTTTCTATGTATTGTGGCGTTGCCACATATACATGCATGTATGCATTTCACAACATCCAGAGTGCAACCTTCTACTACGGTGGCTCAACAGTAGTATAGGATATATCATCACAAATACATGATATGACCATAAATGATATGATATATCGGGATAAATGAATATATGATATACCACAATACATATTTATACAGTATATGTATATATATACAGATATTGTACACATGTATTGTACGTAAACGTACTAATACACATGGCTCCTCAATTGGTCCCCTCCATCTCTTCCAGGGCAAGAATCATTCAGAACTGCTGCATCATGCGCGAGAGCGTTTGTTACGTGGGATGAACGCCACCACCTTGGCACCTCGGCAACTTGACCTGTTAGAGGTCAAAACTATAGATATGGCTCAGTTTTTTTTGACCTGGATTTCCTTGCTCGAGAATAACAAAGCCCATGTGGTTTTTATTGGTTCAAGTCAAAAGTTCACCCCACAAGAGGTTCATTCTGACACATTTCCCCTAAATCATATTCAAAATACTTCCTTGGAAGGTACTTAAGCCCCTAAATCATACTTCAAATACTGAGAAACTACTGCTGGATATAGCTGGATCCCTGCCAGATTCCTTACGTTCGTTACACGACCCGCACACGTTGGCCGCACACGTTGGCTGAGGGCCTCTATCAGGCTCTTGACCGGCAGGCTCGAAGAAAAAAGTGTAACGCAGCAGAGATGTCACTTGGTACTCAGATGGTCCTTGATGAGTGGTTTTTAACAGTTTTTTTACATGGCTAATAATGAGATATTTCATGGAAATATATTGGGGTTAAAACATGATATAACAACTAATCAATACTGAGATATTTCATGGAAATATAGTGGGGTTAAAACATGTTATAACAACTAATCAATACTGAGATATTTCATGGAAATATATGGGGGTTAAAACATGTTGTAACAACTAATCACTACTGTACTGAGATATTTCATGGAAAAATGGTGTTAAAACATGTTATAGCAACTAATCAATACTGAGATATTTCATGGAAATATATTGGGGTTTTAACATGTTATAACAATTAATCAATACTGAGATATTTCATGGAAATATATTGGGGTTAAAACATGTTATAACAACTAATCAATACTGAGATATTTCATGGAAATATATTGGGTTAAAACATGTTATAACAACTAATCAATAATGAAATATTTCATGGAAATATATTGGGGTTAAAATATGTTATAACAACTAATCAATACTGAGATATTTCATGGAAATATATTGGGGTTAAAACATGTTATAACAACTAATCAATACTGAGATATTTCATGGAAATATATTGGGGTTAAAACATGTTATAACAACTAACCAATACTGAGATATTTCATGGAAAAAAATTGGGTTAAAACATGTTATAGCAACTAATCAATACTGAGATATTTCATGGAAATATATTGGGGTCAAAACATGTTATAACAACTAATCAATACTGAGATATTTCATGGAAATATATTGGGGTTAAAACATGTTATAACAACTAATCAATACTAAGATATTTCATGGAAATATATTGGGGTTAAAACATGTTCTAACAACTAGTCAATACTGAGATATTTCATGGAAATATATTGGGGTTAAAACATGTTGTAACAACTAATCAATACTGAGATATTTCATGGAAATATTTTGGGTTAAAACATGTTATAACAACTAATCAATAATGAAATATTTCATGGAAATATATTGGGGTTACAATATGTTATAACAACTAATCAATACTGAGATATTTCATGGAAATATATTGGGGTTAAAACATGTTATAGCAACTAATCAATACTGAGATATTTCATGGAAATATATTGGGGTTAAACCATGTTATAACAACTAACCAATACTGAGATATTTCATGGAAAATATGGGGTTAAAACATGTTATAGCAACTAATCAATACTGAGATATTTCATGGAAATATATTGGGGCCAAAACATGTTATAACAACTAATCAATACTGAGATATTTCATGGAAATATATTGGGGTTAAAACATGTTATAACAACTAACCAATACTGAGATATTTCATGGAAATATATTGGGGTTTTAACATGTTATAACAATTAATCAATACTGAGATATTTCATGGAAATATATTGGGGTTAAAACATGTTATAACAACTAATCAATACTGAGATATTTCATGGAAATATATTGGGTTAAAACATGTTATAACAACTAATCAATAATGAAATATTTCATGGAAATATATTGGGGTTAAAATATGTTATAACAACTAATCAATACTGAGATATTTCATGGAAATATATTGGGGTTATAAGATGTTTTAAGATGTTATAGCCACTAATCAATACTGAGATATTTCATGGGAATATATTGGGGTTAAAACATGTTATAACAACTAATCAATACTGAGATATTTCATGGGAATATATTGGGGTTATAAGATGTTATAAGATGTTATAACAACTAATCAATACTGATATACTTCATGGGAATATATTGGGGTTATAAGATGTTATAAGATGTTATAGCAACTAATCAATACTGAGATATTTCATGGGCATATATTGGGGTTAAAAGAATCCAGTAAAATATTATAACAACTAATCAATACTGAGATATTTCATGTGCATATATTGGGGTTATAAGATGTTATAAGATGTTATAACAACTAATCAATACTGAGATATTTCATGGAAATATTTTGGGGTTATAAGATGTTATAAGATGTTATAGCCACTAATCAATACTGCGATTTTTCATGGGAATATATTTGGGTTATACGATGTTATAAGATGTTATAGCAACTAATCAATACTGAGATATTTTATGGGAATATATTGGGGTTATACGATGTTATAAGATGTTATAGCAACTAGTCAATACTGAGATCTTTTCATGGGCATATTTTGGGGTTATAAGAATCCAACAAAATGTTATAAGATGTTATAAGATGTTATAAGATATTATGGCAACTAATCAATACTGAGATATTTCATGGGCATATATTGGGGTTATAAGAATCCAACAAGATGTTATAACAACTAATCAATACTGAGATATTTCATGGGCATATATTGGGGTTATAAGATGTTATAAGATGTTATAGCAACTAATTAATACTGATATATTTCATGGGAATAGATTGGGGTTATAAGATGTTGTAACAATTAATCAACGATATATGGGTTGCTGCGAAGTAATGTTCGGCTAGTGGGGATAATTGCATTTAATGCGGATTTAGCATGGCGGAATGCTGGACGATGGGATACATCATCGGAGAGTTATGGGACGCAAACGAGTTGTTTTTGAATCAACGGTTATTGAAGATGCCCTTATCAATGGATTGGTTTAAGGGAAAATTTACAGGAAACCATGGATTTTCCCATTAAATATGGGGCTTTCCTGTAGATTTTCCCTTAATCCAATCCATTGCCCTATTTTCAACCCTTGGTTGCTGATGTCATTTCTGCAGTTCTGCAGTTCCTTACACGTCCTGCTGGTTGATGCGGATGTTTCTTGTCGGTGATTGTACTGGTGGTAACCCAATGGTTAATGATCATTATCCCTATTAAATGGCTATTTGTTTGGGAATATACCCTATTTTCAGATAAACCCATATCACTGTAATGATTGATCTTTGAATTATCTGCTAACATGATGTCATGATGTGGTTTTCTGTCTTAAGAGGGTTGACTTATTTCACCCACAAGATGCCATGGGCGAGTTTTTTTTTTAATACATAATTTTACCATTCCCATTGTTTTTGGTGAACTGAACGAACAAATATATTTCATTTCAGTAAGGTGTTTCTCGTTCTTTCCCAGCGGCTCCTAGTTTTCAACCGTTGCTTCCAACGGTTGTTCATGGCGCCGTTTTTCCTCCAGGAATTTCCTGATGCGAAGAAGTCTACTGATGAACAACTCTCAAGACTTTGCCATGGGCATTTGTGTGGGGGGTGCCTTCCTCGAGTCTGGGAAGAATGGAATTCCCATGATGGACTAGTGTGGATGGTGACGCGATGTCTCCTGATTTTAAAGGGCAGTCTGTGGAGATCCCATGATTTGTAGATTTTTTTAGATTTTTAACCTAGGATTTCAACCTTATAAACATCCCATTATTAATAGGTAGACTTATATCCCATAGTGGTTTCAACATGTTTCAACCTTCCAAGGTGCACGATTTCGCGTCACCATCCGCTGTAGTTTGCTCATGGATCAGGGCTTTTTTCTTGGTGAAAGGGAGAGTTGTCTTGCACGTATGGCTTTGTCTCAAGCTGAATATTATATTAACATAAATTAAATTAAATGTATAATATAAATGTATAATATACTATATATATAATATTATACACCATAGAATCATGTCTATGGTCAGTTAGTTGTTTCTTAAAATTGGGTTGGTTGCCCCCAACACCATTGGATTGCAAATGTTGGGGATTTTTTGGTCCCCCATCTTCAGTCACGCCCTAGCATCAGATTGTCGGCTTTATTCCATCGCATCCCAAATTTTCTGCAGAAAATGGTTGATTTGTACCACCCAGTTTTGTTGCTTAAATATCATTTTTTCCATTTGTCGATTCATGTAACCATGGAATGGATATTTAGATTTCAAACAACCATTTCGAGTGCCACTTTACATTTGACCAAACCAGATGATATCTGTCCATCTATTTTCCTGTAGATTTTCCCATGTTTCTCCATGTTCCATACATAAAACTTGCACCAGAACACCCCCAACATCGCTATCCAAACATGGTCGATGGGGTCGATGGGCCATCCGAGGAGACCAAGGAGTTAGCACGCAGAATCGCTCCAATACTCAACGTTCCTCGTGGGAAAATGCTGGATTTCATAGGGCGAAACAAGATGCAGCCCACGAACCCGAATGCTCACACGTATGTTAATGGTACAGATGTCAAAACACATGGATATGCAGTCCCGCACTATACCTTTCTGCAATAGTTTATTTGAACAGTCTTGTACATGTTTCCCTTGTTTGTGCTGCGCCTGCCACGCAAAATGACGATGGACACGTCCAAAGTGCTGCGCCTGCCACGAAAACTGCCACGCATCTTCGGAAAACGTCGCAAAAGTATTGCGCTTGCCACACAAAACGATTTTCGACGCGTTACAAAACACGTCTGAATGTCACAAAGGGCCACGCCTACCACGCGAAACGAAGCAACGAAACGTTGGAAAACTCCAAAAATGACCCCCTCCTGCAGAACTTACCATAGGCACGGCCATACGGGGATCGCGCGGACGGTTGCGGAGGGTTGCGGACGGTTGCGGAGGGTTGCGGAGGGTTGCGGACGGTTGCGACCGTGAACGCAACGTCGAGCGAACAAACCCTCAACCCCCAGACCCCCAGAGTGAAACGGGAACCCGTGCTACGCATTCGGGAAAAACCTGCACAATGCTGCCAAAGCGAGATAAAAATGGAGGTTGAAACAATGGGAAAATTTTTAGTGGATCTAAATTGGGACTTACCTCTGGTATGTGACAGTGTGCTCTGGGAAATCACCATCGAAAAGACATATACGGTAAATCTTGGAACGAAATGAGTGAGTATGGGTGGGTTTCAATATCTATGTTGAACTATCAGAGGGTATAGTACCCAGTTACAGTATGTGATTTGTAGGGTTTAGCCAACAGTTGATTGACCAGATATAAAGTAGATAAATGATGTAAACATCAAATATATGGTAATTCCAACCCCATTAGCTTCAAACTGAATCGGCGATGGTTTACATCGGCCATTTCTGGGACATTGGGGATGATTTTTGATTGGGTCAAACAATGTTTCCCACATTTGTAGAGTCAATGGAACCGGGTTTCTGAACCGAAAGGAAGGTAGCTGCCAAGTACTGTAATCTGACCAACGTGGCGATTGAACAATGAACACACATAGAGATTTGAGCTTATTTGAGCATCAAACTATGCGATATTTCAGCAGTCATAAAGACACAGGTCCAAGGCGATCAGATGCCTTCTTAGTTTAGATGATTGTTGATGTTCGATGTTGCTCTGTTGTGGGCCTCAACGAAGACAATTTTTTCGAAGATTTAAGACTTGAAATATCCATTTTGGGATAGCTAAAGGAATCCATCCATACATGTCAATATATATATATGTGATACATATATTAGAATCAAATATACAGTATATACGTATAGTATAGCATGTGAACTCATATGCACAGAAGATCCTGGGAATCCTGAATCTCCAAGGACGATTGCTCTCCTCTGTGGGCGTTGCCCATTGGACGGATGAATTTCATCTATGCGCTGCAGAGTCATTGGCCGACGTTCCTTCAGTTACAACTGCTGAGCGAGCGAATCAGTCGGGAATACAGGCGGAATTTGGAGCCCATGGCTTGGACGCCAAATGCAGGGCCTCATCATGCCCAGAAATTCAGCAGGTATGGAACATGGTCCCTTTATAGAGGATTTACCGTACCTCTTAAGCATATTGATCCATGGCAAAGTGTAACAAATTACCAGAGGCTACTCCCAACACGTGTCATAAAATGGGTTCCAGCACATTTCAGCCACCCAGCGGCAGGTTTAGACGTCCGAAATTTCCAGCGGCTGGTTGGTAGAGGTAAATGGTGGAATAATGGCGGTAAATCAATATACCCCCTATAGTAATCAAACAGTTAATGGACAATTCCTCATTTATAGGAGATCTTCCCATGATATAAAACCTTTATTTTTTAATGTGTTTTTTATGGATTTCTCTTTGCCACATTTGCTTAGCGGATGGTAAATTATGGTATAGTCAATCAATGCGATTTGATGCAGTTGAATATGAATGATGAAGGTAAAAGGTATATAGTAGATAGAAAACGACGGCAATGGTATGCCCAACCAGGCCCCATATTTTGTCCGCTTCAGAACTCTATTTCAATTGTCATTGTTTGCGGGAAATTGGTGGCTTGGTGCCCGTTTCCTGTTGCTGTAATATCCCCTCAAACCACTTCACCTTATGGCAATACTCCCACGCTTCGATAGTGAAATCACATTTTGATAGGTCAAATTCCAGGTCAATTCGGAGGTGAATCCCAATTTTTGATATTCAACTTCCGATATTTTGGGGGTTAAGCCTCGATTTTTGACGGTTTCATCATCTTCTTGAATATTCAGGGTTGAGTTCCTATCTTGGATGTTTAGTTCATGATTTTAGCAGATGACTTTGGAAAAATGTTTGGGAAACTCTGTGAATATAGCAGGTCTATCCCAATTTTGGACAACATCACCCCATTTTTGCAGATCGGCAGGTACTATGGTAATCTCTGCGATTTGTTGAATGCCGAGTTGCCCTTCGCTGCAGAGTTTTTCCACAATGTCCGACCCAAGGAGCTTGAGGGGCAGGTGACGGTGATGTGATGGGCAGGTGTCATTTGAAATGGGCTATCTTTGAACTTGTCATCACATTTGGGTAGTGGTTTTCTGTTCTTTGAATTGGTGCATTTGGGATGATGATGGATGATGATCGTCAATGATTAATACCCCCTTTCACCCCCTTTTCCGGAATTCTGGGGAACAAAAAAATCTGGATCTCCTAAGATCAACGGGAGCTGTGTCACAGCATTTTGCAGATCTCAAAGGGAATATGTTACCAAAAACAGGATGCACGGGCTGAGGATAGGATTTATGTGGTCACCAAAATTACATGGCCATACTTCACTGGATTGCTGATTGGGATAGTACTCCAGATGTCCAAGGGTTTTGTTGATGGTTTCCCACGCCATTTAGAGCTTGTGGTGACCATCGCGTGGCGAATTCTGGGATGATGATCGTCAGTGACGAAATCCCAAGAATTACTACCCCTTGTGTAGGGCGCAGTCAAATTTTTGACTCCATTACTGAAGAAAGAAAGAAATAACATACCTGCTGTGTGAATCAGTTTCAGACAAATATATATATATATATATACACAGTATACACACATTAGTTCACACATGTCCTTTGCAGCTCACCCAACCATTTTGAGAGCAGAAAGGAGCGCTGTGAGCCCGTGTGTTATTGGGGTGTTTGTAAGCTACATATATCCGCAACAGAGATGGCTTGAAGATATGTTTAGCATTGTTTACCGCTGAGTATTTTTTACAACGACAAACCCCAGGTCTTCTAGTGTGGTCTACTGTCAGGTAGGAACCCCCATCTTTGTGGTGATAGGTGGATGGCTGCGTCTGCAAATAGGGGATGGGCCCCATACAATCGCAGTTTTGATGGGACCCATGATCTATTGAAAAATCTGTGGGATTTGGGGTTGCCATATTTTCAGACAACCCAGATGTATAGTTATATTATACATTTATATATATATATAATATTATTATTATATTTATATACATTATAGTATCCCCCTTTTGTTGGTGAAAGCTCCGTTTCCTTGGGGATTTTTCTACACCATATGAGGTTCTGTACCTCATAATTCCTCGGACTTTTGCTGGCTAAACCGCAGCAATTTTGAGAGGACAAACTATGATAAAGAACATCACTATGAATATGAAATCTTGTATTCCCGTTCTAAAGTAGATATTTCTGGGGCCTAAGATGAATACTTCAATACATGATGTCGTTTGCCATGTGAATATTGATCCGATAGCCGATAGCCCATGGTACCACCCCATTTAGGTGAGGATGTGTGGCGGCTTGCGCATAGTCCTCCGCTACCTGGACCGTGCAGTGAAAACGACACGACTGTCGGCGGACTGGTTAGGGGATATCACCGCGGCGGAAAGACTCTTGAAGATGCTGGCGTGGCTAGGCATGAACTGGATATAGGCATTTGTGTGTGTGCGCGTGTGTCTTCTAAGTTTTCTTGATCCTTTGCATGTGTACACAAATTATGATATTGAAGATACAAATCTTACTGTATCTTACTGTAAATATAATATATATATATATATATATATACACATTGTTTCAAGATACATACAGTACAAGTGCTTTTAAACTCCATCCAATTTGATTCCATTTATGTCTGAGGCATGGCTCGAGCCTGGCGGAGTTGTTGTCGGCCATTGGTCAACTGCCAGAGGAACGAAGTCCATGGGTCTTGTTGAATCGCATGCAGAAGCGATGGTGGTGACGCTGACATAGCTGACATTAGCTGACATAACTGGCGAAAAAAGCTGGAGGTTTTTATGGTGTCCAACTTGGCGAGATGATGATTCGTGGCAAATTGGCAAATTGTGTGCCTGGTCGTTTTTTGCGCTTCATCGCTAGAAGAGCTGGGATAAGCTGGTGAGAGAGGTGGATGCTTCTCCAACCCGGGAACGGCGCAATGAATGTCCTAAAGCGGACCACTCTCATGAAAATTGAGACCCAGTTGAAGATTGGCACAAAGCCAATGAAGATGCTGCTAAGATGTCCCAAAATACCAAAGGGATGTCGGATGTCATTTTCACGTTTGGGGATGGCAATCTATTTTACATTAACTGTGGTTCTGAACACACCACTCATTGAATCAATGGGGATGCTAAGCTGAACTATGGCCGCTATGGCCATTTCACGGGAAAAATATGACCATCAGATGGTACTTGGGTGGGACCCATAGAAACAACAGCAACACCCGGTCCGGTCGGACACCTCCGAGCGGAACCCGTGGCCTCGTTCTGCAAATGCAGATGCAGCAGATGCATCTGCTTTGAGGTGAGATCATCACAGCCCCAAATACATATTAACACAATTGCACAACTGTATATATTATAATATATAAATAATTGTTTCTTATTTATTGATCTAAAATAACATAAACAATCTATATATATATATATATTATATATATATATATATTAAACATATATATATACACAGAAGTATATCTACATGTAGGCCATATGTTTGAATTTTCCAATGTCAGGGTAGATTTACATCCCGACGAGATGGCCTTGCTGGTTTTTGTCCCTGCCACGAAAGGCATGTCGAAGTGCCCCGGTCTTTTCGGATGCCCTGGCTTGTATCGATATGAATGTATAGATAATTAATACCAAATGATTATCAATACAATTATCAATACAATATATATTGGTATTGGTACTATATATATTAATATGGTATTTCATATATGGGTATGGAAATTATATGCCGTGATCAGCCCTCCAAATTGGATGGTCATGATGGTGGGATACTTCCATGGGTGCCCCAATTTTGAACCATGGCTGCACTATGATAACGATGTGCAACTTGACCCACTATATACAAGCAAAACTCCAATTGCACAGTCAGAATCAAAGTTTATCGCAGAGTTCTCTGCCCACTTGACCCCGTTGCAGCTGAGGATGCTTTCATTTGGAAGATGGGTGACTTGTCGACAAATCCGGCCATGATAGATCCAGATTGATTTTGTAACATTGTGAGAATGACAACAGTTTGTCACAAATGGAGCATTTCATGTTGCAACGCGGCTGGAAGAATTCTTGAAACTCGTTCTGATCTGATCATTCAGTTGCTGCATGTTGTAACGCGAGGTCCCCAAAATCCGGGGCTCAAAGACGCCATCCTTGCTATGGGCAAGGAAGATTGGAAGCGTGTCTTGGGACGTTTGGGGATTCTGGGTGAGGGTATATCCGTTAATTAGTGGATGTGGTTACTAGTGCGTGTGTGTGTTTACCAAGCACGGGGGATATATGTGCAACTCGAAAGAAACAAAAACAACATAAAACGACAACTTTGTTGTCGGGCATCTAAGACTAGCCATCAAAAGGCAATCTATCTTTGAAGGAGGAATCGGGACCCCTTGAATCACGAAAATTGAGATGGGTACTCTATGTCTACAAGGTAGTTGGAGAAACTACACCAGACTGGTCAAAGGGTACCTATGGATTCCCGTACTTTGTTCAGACACTGTACAACTGTACAACGAAGAAAGCCGGGGATATACTGTACCAAAATGGTGGGATAGATCGACGTTTATATACTCATTTGATTTCATTTGTAACTGACCGATACATGGGAATCACACCAACAATTTGGATCACGAGAAGAATCCTCACCCCTGACTGGGAGTGCAGACGTACCAAGTACACAAGTTTGGGGTGCTGATGTTACAACCTCACCACTCATTCCAACAGCGAGGGGAGCAATGATTGGTGCGCTTGCAGTCTAAAGTACTGTATAAAATCGATCCCTTTTAAACACAGGCTAGGTTTAAACGGGGGTATTTTGCACATCCAATGCAAGCTGACAGCACGTTTTAAGGTCGCAATGTCAGACAATGTGTCTTTCTCTCTGGTCATCTACTATACCAGTGGTTTTCAACCACAACTATAACCTTTTCATAATCTCGTTGCATCTACGGATGGCAGGTTGGTTTACAAAAGGCTCATCTCAGAGACTCGCCCAGTCGCCGAGTTTCCCTAGGGGGCCGCTGGACACTCTGAGGCCACAAAAGTCGCTGAGTTAAAAAAGTTCGCCACAAAAGTTGCTGCCAGCTGGGTCGTGATGTGCAGATATTTCCATGAATTATCATGAATTTCTGGCATTTTTGTTTGCCCTCCATCAAACGTGGCTAGCTGGGTTTTGTACCTGCCCTTTTTGAGGTTTCAGTGGGAAAAATCATCGACAAACATAGGGGGATTTTCCGTGTTTGATTGCTGGGAGAATCAGGAACTTTGACCAAAAAACAGAATCTGTGATGCATAGATTGTTAAACATTTGCACCTAGGTTGTTTGATTTTGCCTGTATATCTATATCTTTTCTATGCATATATATATATATATAATACACATAATATTTATATATACATATCTATATGTATATATATATGGACGTATACACAAATAAGAGAGCTATTGGTGCAGTACCTAGAGTGCCATCATGATCTTGATATTTTCTTTCTCACATGTTCTGTCGTCAAAAGTAGCTCGCTGGGACTCAGGCTGAACTGCAGTTGCATTATTCCGGACAACAGCTCTGGGCTCCTTGGCGATGATCGGCGGCCGGTCCCCTGCTCAATGAGCTGCTCAAAAGCTGAGAACACCAAGCCCCTTTTTGTTTCGCTATACCGAGATATAGCAACCAAAAAGAAGAGATGAGAAAGGTAAGATACAGCACCAAACAGAATGGTAGTAAAATCCTTTTCTATTTCTTTGGGGAGAGTACAAAGAATAGCGACCAACACTGCGGTGACCCAATTATTACTTCAATAGTTGTTTAGGATATTTTACTATTGTTGTGACGTCTTGATTTGCTATTGTCTACTATGATTTGCTATTGTTGTTTTGCTATTAACTACACCCTTTCATGGGTCTTTTTAAAACAAGTCCTCACTAACCGAAGGGAAGCCGCTGGTGTTTAGGTGCCAACCAGAGGCAACCATCGCTTGGACGTTTGGGAACCCGGCTGGAGAGTCAATGGGCGGGCTGTAATTTACCTAACAGTATTTACTGGGTAATAAGAATACTGGACGAATACTGTTGCTTTGTTGCTGAGCCATATTTTCTTCACGAATGTTATGGAATTCAATTGCAAATATATATATATATATACATGTATATACACATACATTATAACAGCTTATAACATATATATATATATGTTATACCACTGTTATATGCCAATATTACATCCCCATATTGAACTACAATGTTAGACAATCATTTACATATAGTATAGAACTATTATATAACATTGGGGTGTAATATTATGTAATTAATGATCAGCCAGTTGATGGAACAAGATCAGCCTTGTAGAGGGAACCTGGGAGGGTTACATCTCCATTGGAAGCATCGTTTTCATGGTTCAAAATTACTATTATATTTCAATGGTGGAGAAAAACCATATTGATGATGGAAGCACCATTCTACATCAATGATACCATAGTAATTGTACATTGCGGTTGCTCATGTGCCATGTAAATTGCTGTTTCCATCAAAACTCAGCCAAGGCGATGTTCATCCCGTGCCAACGTGGGCACAGGCTACCAGACGCGGAGGTTCGTTGGAGGGATCGATGGGGAAAAAAATGCCGTGATGAGTGAAGGGTAGCCATTGGTTAACCCCATTGCTGAATTCCCAATGATGGGATGAAAACATAGCCTACAGACTTTGCCAATTTGGGGATTGGTCACAAATCGTTGCAATCAACAATTCTGGTTCAGTAGTCTGGTAGTTTATCAAGCAATAAATGAAGATATTACCAATCAGCTTGTGGGTTTCAATGCTCATCTGCTGGTAAAAAAAGAGGATTTCCTCTGAGGATCCAACTTAGGAGGATGATCCAGTAGACTAAAATGGGTACGAAAGGGTACATAAGTGGATGGTGTGTGGGATATGGTTTTAACTTGCGAGGGACTAGATAGCTTGGCCATTTTTAGTCCTTGGCACGAAGCACTAAGGCGAGCAAGGCGAGTAATCTAGAATCATTTGGAAGGCATCCTGCGTACAGAGTCTCAAATTTCGAAATTCCAAATTCCACATACCTTCAAGTGTCAGCAAACAGGGCTAGCCGGGAAATCCACGAATTGAGCTAAATCAGCATTTTAAGTGGAAATATCATAGAACTCTTCGAACTCAATGGTGATTTTTTGAGCAAACCATGTTTGATTGCCGAACTTAAGTGCTTGTCAGATGAAACCCACGCAGCCCTGTGGTTGTTACCTGAAGAGATCCGACTTGAAAACAACGTGCCGCCCTTTACTATGGTTGAGAGGAATTCCTTACATTGATGAACATGTATGATGTACTAGAAATATATACAGTATACATATACAATCAAGCAAGTTTCAAGGGGCTTTTGCCAGGTGGCATCCAAAGACGAGGCCCCACTTCTGGAGGCCCCACTTCGGTGTCAGTGGGATGATCGTAAATATTCTCGTGGGGACTCACCAACATTGGGGATATGGGGATCAGCCAAGTAGCATGGTTTTCATATGTTTTCATATTGGTGTCCGACTGGAGTCCAGTCCTGATTTTATCATATTTTATCATATTTTATCTACGGGACATTGACCTTTAGATGCACGACCGTCGTGCTCTTTCCCTTGTCCCAAGACTAGAATTCTGAGTAGAATCCCTGAAGAGTAGGATGAGAGGTTCATTTGTTTATTGGATAATGGTCCGAGTCCAATTCAAATGATTATCCATCCATAAACCATTAAATGTTCATATATTTTGATATCATTTGATCTCCCAACTAACCATTAAAACCCTTTGTTAGATATAGAACCGTTCTATAGGACTATGAATCGACCAGGGGCCTGGTGCTCCAATTTGATGGCGAAGTCCAGTGCGAGATATCCAAAAACATGTTCTGGTCCGTGGCTTTCTATCTTTGATTTTGATTCATATCTTATGTATATATATATAATACAACTTAATATGTCTTATTTCACAAGTATGTTACTCAAATTGTCGTCACCGAGTTTTTCGAGGGGCTACCCCGCTACCGCCGCACCCCATGAGCTCCCAGCTCCCCCAGCCGATGGCAGGAGAGTCCTACGCTGATCTGGTACTTGACTCAGCGCGGCTGTGCCACAATGGATGTTTGGCTTCAGCTATGGGTCCCGGGCATTTGGAAATGGGGTGTAAATACCATCTGGTTATTTAACATACCCATGGAAAGATCCACCATTTTATAGCTAGGTAAACCATCTATTTCTATGGGCCATGGCTTCCATGGCTATGTTAAATAACCAGAGGTTACATCCTGGAAATGGAATGGATCACATCACATCAACAATTCTTTGTGTGGACCCGAACAAGACCTGCTCTACATGCTGAATGTTCATCTCATGTTGCTTCAAGATTGTATATAGTACCCTACCTGACCCGAGACAATGAGGGAAGTATCAAACCCTTTTAATGGGATTTCTTGTCATCAAAATCTATATCATCAAATATATTCAAATTATCACCGAATATCAATAAATTTCATTAAATATCATCAACTATCATCAAGTTCATCATTTTCCTTCAAATTTCATCACCTATCAAAAATCAGCAACTCATCTTCCTTCAGATATCATCTTCCTTCAAGCCACTTCGAGCGCAGCTGGACTGGAGGTGTAACCCCAATGCAGCGTACTATGAGGCGATGGTCTATCAGGTGGGCTTCCATCAACAATGATTGCTGGACTCGAATGGAGGGTTAATGAATGTGTGTTTCATGATGGTTACCCTCTGGTAATTTAACATAGCTATGGAAAATCACAATTTTTAATGGGAAAATCCACTATAAATGGCCATTTTCAATAGCTATGTTAGTTTACCAGAGGGTATACCAATTATACCATATTTTTTGGGGGCCATGTTTTTTTTCCACCATTCCTTGGGTCACCAGAGGGGTGAAAAAAACGATGATCCCTTGAAGAATCCCATCGCCCGGCCGCCAGCCCGGAATCCTCAAATTCTGGCTGAACAGAGGTGCCTGCAGCATGGGTTTTTGTGATGTGAACGTTGGTTTTGACAAACACTAAACACTATGTAGGTAAAAACTATGGTTTATGGTAGACGTGTCATAGATCTAGAATTATATAATCTTAATTGATTTGACTAAGATCAACTATAGATATATCTAGCATAAACAATAGTGAACCTACTTCTAAAGAAACTTGGCCAAGTAATTAGGGGGCACCGCCTTGAAGACAAGTTGTTTCTTTGAAATGGACTTGCCATGTTTTCTTCTGTGGATATGGTGGATGATGTGGATGTTGAAACGCAACTATTTCCTCGACATTCATCGTTCCATCTCTCTTGGGCACGTATCCGTCAAACGGCCAGAAGCCCCCAAAATGAGGAGACTCAACGAAGTTCAACAATCCCTGCTCTAGCCGTTTTAAGAGGATCTGAAGCATGAGTAATTTGCATGTAATTATTCCAGGAATCGTCAGAATTGGAGTCCCTGGAGCGTCAAAATGCATTGCTTTTGAGGTCCAAACTTTGCCAGGGCCAGCAGGAAGCCCCACAGGGATGATTTGCTTGGTTGGTTTCAACTTTTTTAATCTGCCCTATTTGGGATGACGAGCCCCTGTGGCCTTTTTTGTGCTTTGGGGCTTAGAACCGCCACGAATTCAGTAGCCACTGTGATGTTCCTAGAGTTTTTCACGGAGCTTCTAGAAGCCAAAGAAAATCGAAGTTGGATAAACATCAGGACACTCATCATATGTCATCTAAATTGTCAAATTTTCACCATATTTTGGCAAAAGTCATCCTGAGAGCTTGCCAGGCTGCAATCTTTTTCTCTTCAACTATGCTGGCTACGGGCGCTCCAGTGGCAAACCATCGCCTTCTAGAGTCTCTCAGGCGTCGTGGCTAACCGGTGCACCGAAACAGTCACGGTCGTTTAACAGATGATCATGTGCGGTGTCACGAAATACACAATATAATAATGCAATCCTATAATAATCTAATATAGTAATACACTGATATGATATGATATATAGTATAACATTTAAGTTTATATATAATACAATATGATAAAACATTGTATGTTGATACCTGCAAAATGATAGAATGTACTGTACAATAAAATTTGGAGTATGATATCGTAGATAGTATCATAGATAATATAATATTATATAATGTAATATATACAATATAATCTAATAAATACAGTGTTGTTATATTATATATATATATATATATATCCTTTTATATAATAACTATATATATATAGGTAGTTAAGATCAATATTTTTTAGTGTATATATAATATTATTTCCATAATATGATATAATATACTATACTATAGTTACTTTGGTACAAAATGATAGAACATACTGTAATATAACATGATACACATACTATTCTACAATTAAGGTTTGCATGTTCAATGTAATATATTATAATTCAATATTGTATAATACAATACAACAACATGATTTAATCTAATATGTTGTATTAGATTATATGAAGCATGATACAAACATGATACACTACTATACAATACAACATAATAATATATAATTCAGTGTAATGCACTGTGCTGTGATTTTATATATTATAGTGAAACATGATTCAACAGAATAGAATGCAATATAACGTGATATGACATAATAGAATAGAATAGAAACCAATCTAACCCAATCCTTGAGACATATATAATGCATTATCATATATTTATATATACATACATCATTGGCATATGAAATAACATAATATATATTAAGATAATTTGATACAATCCAACTGCACATAATTTGATATAATGTAATATGATATGATATCATATTATGTAATATCAAAATAATACAACAATATGATATCAAACAATATGATATGATATCATATCATGTAATATCAAATAATACAACACTATAATGTGAAATACTGTTACCATTATATTATCATGTAATTCAATATCAAACAATGTAATGTCAAACAATATAATATCAACTATATTTGTTTCAAATATAATATTCGACTTTACATGTTTAACATGTATTTATACATCATATATATATATGTATATGTATATATTCACCTGAGACCATATACACACACATTTGATTCTGTATGTAACAAATTATATTTATATTCTATTTACCATATTATGTATGTATATATATATATGAATATTCTACATAAATGACTTGGTTAAAATCAGCATGAACATTCATTCGCATATAAACATATCAGTTTATTAAGCTCACATTTTTTACACGCATGTTTTTCATGGTACCTGTATTTCTCACAACAGGTCCTGTATCTAAAGTTCGTTCTGCGAGCTCAGATTATACAGTAGATTTCCATGAATTTCCACGATCTGATTGCAGGCTTTCTTCCACTCAAAAGCAGAAAAAAAACCATAGATAGCTAGACAGAGGTTGAAAATTAGACATAGCTGCATAGACGTTTCTTGTGAATGGACAGCCAAAATCAATGAAATTCTCACGCAACTGGAGTTCCCGAGTTGGCCAATCGCCACAAGAGGATCACCGTGTCTCCAGGATGGTAGGTCAATGAAATTTCGGCTGACCTTGAATTTTTTCTATACCATCTATATCTATACTGTCCAGCACAAACTATAGATCTGGGGTATGGGATAGAATCAAACGTATCTATAGTATACAGTATACCATAGTATACCTATTTTGGTGGTGCTATAAATCCCAGTGGGGTCGCTGGCATCTGCAGGATGGTGAGGCTGTGGTTCGATTCCTCAGAAGCTGGGGACCACAACGCGACCAGACACCAGACACCGATCACCATAGCATGCTGATCCACCAAAAAAGAATAGAAGCGGTCAAACTTACATGTTTTTTTGCTGGGATTTTACTTTTCTATTTTTTGTTGACATTGCTATAATTACACATTTTGTATCAGAGAACCCCGAATCAGACACCAAAGGGCCGAATCGCCCGAATCAGCGACCATGATTGTGCTTAAGAACCGGAACTGGAATGTGTAGTGGTAGAGATTTTTCAATTTGCTTACATTGAGTATGGTTTCCATGCCGAGGTGTTTGTGGGTGGATGAGGGGGGCGGCTATTAACGTTCCGCGGTTCCGGATCCCTTTTCTTTGGTTCCCGACTCAGTGTTCTTGGTTCCAATTCAAAGTTCTTGGTTCCCGATTCTGTTCTCGATTTGTTTGTGTTGGTTCCCGATATACTTGTGATACACAGATTCATATACAATTGATGTCTCCTGATAATCAGGAATAAATCTGAAGGACTTGATCCTGTAACTTGCGGTGAAATAACTTGTTTGATGATCTTCCCTGTAGTCTTAACAGGTAGGGGTGTGACCAACCTTGGCATCTATGGAAGGCGCGGCTTTGCGCGACTTGGGTGGTGGGTGGAAATACTCTGTGTGTGTGTCTACAAAGGACTATTCATAATTACACGGGAACATGATGGGGATATCATTCCATGATATAGACAGACACCATTTTTCTTGGATACGTTGGGATGTTACCAACAAATTAAGTAACTAAGATATGTGATATGTGGAGACTTGGCTAATTATTGCCGACATATTGCCGTTGAATTCGTGGTCATCCAGAATTTGTTGAGCCTTGGGAGTTTGAAATCACCCCGGATTTGGGGGGCCACATCTCAATCCAAAGCACCCAAACAATGGCTTCTCAAGATTTTTTAAACATATAGAACAATAACATTAAGTTGTGGTTGTGGCACTCATTTGTTTGATCTAGAATGTTTAAGTGAGTTTGTGGTTAGACAATCTTAATATAGTAATTAGACAGGACATGTGATATAAAAGATTGTTATTGGGGCTGCTCCCACATGAAACACTCCACTAGAATCCCATTAACATCAATGGGACAATATTTTTTTGGTAGAGCCTTGACATCTTTGGGGGTGTCCCTGATACAGGGAAGGAGTATCATTATTTAAAATCCCATGAAAATGGTTGGTTTATGGTTGATCATCTGTGAAATATTCCATTACCCGTTGGTAATCAAACATGACTTGCTGGAAAATCACCATGTTTCGATTTTCCCAGCCATAAACCTCCATGGCTAGTTCGGGGATTTCTCAGCTAGCCTTGTTTGATGACCGAAGGCTATCCCACTAGATATTTCATTAGTACCATGAAATATACCATTGGATATATAGAATTACGTATACCATCAACCCATTACCCCATTCATCACCAAACGGTTACCAAAAACTATGGCTGTTTGCTCGTTGAGCCACCCCTGCAGGTCCATTGGGGGCGTTGCAGCTTGCTATGTGGCCCGGCGTTTTCCTGAGGCACGGATTTGAAGGGTTTGTTATGGGGGTATCCCAATAGCTGGATGGTTTACTTCGTGGAAAATCCGAAAATAAAATGGATGATATGGGGTTACCGGGTTACCCCTAGTTTAGGACACCCCCATTTGATTATCATACTGTTGTTATTCTGTTTAATCAAGGCTCAGGATGCTTGTATTATCATAATTAGGTTTAGATTCGATTTTTGTCTTCTTATTGGAGTTATAGAAATAAATGCTATAAATATATATATATATATTTATATATTTATATATATGTAAATATATAAATAAATAAATATATATATATATATATAAATATATATATATAAATAAATATATATATAAATATATATATACAATGCATACAGTTCCGCGAAAGAACCATGGAACGATAAGGATCTAAAATATCCATGATTTAGGGATACCAAATGGACGGGTCAAGGCCGATATCAGATGAATCGCTGGGTACCAAGACATGGGAAGTGGAATATCAAAGACCAGGAGTCGGGAAAACATCATAACAATATACCCTCTGGATCCCTCTGGCAATTCAAAATGTAGCTATTGCAAATCACAGATTTTACAAGCTGTATCAGCTATTAATTGCCATTGTCCATGGGTATGTCAACTTACAAGAAGGTACTTGTTTGAGATGATTGCGTAAGTTCGCATCTTGCTATCCAGCAATTCAAACTTTGGAGACGTCCTAACTGCTGGACTGCAGTGGAGATATACCAGGAGGATTCGCAAATGTGAGCAGCCATAGTTGATAGCCCAACTGAGCGAAGATGAACGTGATGCTACTCTCCATTCTAGTTATAGTTTTCATGGCAACAAATTGATCACAGAAGAAACCAGCCTGAACTACCTTGCATTGCATCTAGTTGTGATTTTGGCATTTCCATAAGGTGCGAAAGGTGTAGAATATATTAGAATATTAGTTGGCAGAGGGTCAACACATTTTCTGCTCATTGGAATTTGGTTGCTCAAAGTATTGCCCAAAAAAAGAGAAAAAAATAATTAACTCAGTTGGTGGGGTAGAAGTAGTGCTTCATTCTGATATATTCGGCGGCAGTTCAACATTGGACATATTAAGACCGTGTAAATCGCAGATGTCGGCTAGTTAGTGGTTTTAAACATCTTGTTTTTACTTTTTGCAAGGTAACAGATAGATTCGCAGGTTTGAATTGTGAGATGGATGGTCCACGCACAAACGAGTACCTTCAACCATACTAACGTTCCTATAGTGACGTGCCTATACCAGTGGCATTGGACTTTGGACTAATTTAGATACAGATATCAACTCCAATCACCAGTTCTTTATGGCTTGAAATACCTTCAATGGGGTGTCCAGGGGCCCCATATCCCAACCTACCAGGAGTTAGGGCGGGCTGCCACGTTGCCAGGTGAAGATTCTCATCACTGACAGGAGGGACCTGGCAAAATGAGCCGGATGCGGAAGCCTCTTGAATTTCTATATCTTTGTGTATTCATACATAGATACATAGATAGACAACTACATAGATAGACAACTACATAGATAAATAGATAGATAGATAGATAGACTATAATGATAGACTATAATAGATAGATAGACTATAATAGATAGATAGACTATAATAGATAGATAGACTATAATAGATAGATAGACTATAATAGATAGATAGACTATAATAGATAGATAGACTATAATAGATAGATAGATAGACTATAATAGATAGATAGACTAAAATAGATAGATAGACTATAATAGATAGATAGACTATAATAGATAGATAGACTATATTAGATAGATAGACTATACTAGATAGATAGACTATAATAGATAGATAGACTATAATAGATAGATAGACTATAATAGATAGATAGATAGATAGATAGACTATACTAGATAGATAGACTATAATAGATAGATAGACTATAATAGATAGATAGACTATAATAGACATACAGACATAGAGACATAGAGACAGACATAGAAACGTAGAGACAATGAGACAATGACACAAGGAGACATGGAAACATAGAGATAAAGATACATAGAGACATACATACATGCATGCATGCATACAGACATACAGACATACAGACATACAGGCACACACACACATACACAGACATTAATTACATTACATTGCGTACATTGCACTACATTGCATTGCATGGCATTACATTACATTACATTACATTACATCACAATAACATACATAAGTGAGTACTATGCACATATATATATATATATAGATAGATACATAGATGTGGGCACGGGTCCAAATCTAAGACCCTTTGGCCGGTGGCACAGTGTTAGCTCAGACCATGTCACCCCTTGGTGAAGGGATGGTCATCGGAATCCTATCGCAGCCACCAAGAAATGCGCAGGACAATGTCCACCTTAGAAGGTGCAGCCAGATACATGTCCGTGGCCTAGCGGCTGTCTGGGAGGATTCATGTAGATCAGGTTTCATGATGGTTGTTCATGATCATGAAACATCCCCATGATATCCCATGAAATACCAATGATGTGTTATTGCTGATTTGGCTGTACATCTGCGGTACAGCTGAAGAGCTGCTACGGAAGTAACATGATATTTACCCTGAGGCAATCAAAGCTGACACTTCCATGACTGGGTATGGTTGAGATTCTCGTTCTATGACTAGCATTAAAGGTGGATGCTGGAGATGGTACCCTATGGCTTGACACATATCCCAGAAAAACCCCCTTGCTGATGATTAAAAACAACATATTTCCATATATTTGCATATTTTTCCATGTACTTTGTATATGTTCATAGATTTCCATGAATATGTCCACAAAAATGTCCATATATGTCCATCTATAGTATATACATCTATATACTGTATAAATCTGTATAACATATATTAAATGATTCAACATGGATGGAACACTCATGGGATTGCCCTTTATGGTCCGTCGAATCCCCAAGTTCCGTTTCATGGCTCCCGAGGTATGGCGGTTGGGCTGCCAAGGGCCTAAGGGCCACGTGCTCCCTCACACGCTTGGGCGATGGCATATTTACCTTAGCCCAATGGGAAATCATAGATTAAGCAATGACCCAAACTTTATGGGAAATCCATGGAAAACCATGGATTTAGCCCAAAGAATGACCCAAAAGTAGGTAAATCATTTCTTAAATGCAGAATAAATCAAGGAACATTGGGATGTGTTGAACATCCCCAGGATGGAGGTAACAGCGGCTGATCAACTACGGACCTGGGTTGTGATCTGGGTTCTTCGATTTGTCCTGGGCGTTTGGCTGAGATGCTGGCAGGGTTGATGGTTAATCAATGTTAATCGTCATATCTATTCCTTATTGTTAGCCATCAACTATCAATTGTTATATCTTTACATTGCATGTCAACACCAAGTATCAAGATATGTGCTAACCATCTCAGTTGATTGCAATATGTGGTTCTTTTGTTAACCATCAACTATCAATAGTGACTATTAATAGTTGATGCTTATTTATTTTGCAATCAATATTTTGATAGTTGCAAGATGTGGTTGATATATTTGGATGGTTATTAATATTTGATGGTGGATTAATATGTTTATTACCCTCTGGTAAACAAACATAGCAAGGGAAAATCATTACTTGAATAGGTAAATCACCTATAAATGGTCCATTTTCCATAGCTATGTGAGTGTACCAGAGGGTACATCCTCAATTTGATCCACCTGGGCGCCAAGAAGCTGCGAGCCTTCCCGCCGCCCGCCGTCGTGTTCGAGACTGGACCGACCCAATGCTGCACGATGCGGCGGCCAGTCAAGCCAGTCAACCCTGAAACCATGGTTGGAAGGGGATGAAACCATCTGAAACCACATATCTGGGACCATAGAATGGGAGTCTTTGATATTGGGATGAGATAAATTCCTTGACAAAGTAGGCTGAAGCATTTCTGCAATGTCATTATGGATAGCATCCGACATCAACAGACAGCCATTCCCAGCTGTCGGGTCAACATCCCCTAGGCCCTATCCCAATATCCCAAACATGGCGTTCCAGTTTACAGGGGACCAACCCAAAGTCCTATTTTATGGGGCCAAAAATTGATCTCCGAATCGCAGCAATTGTGCCATGGCATGGGGGCCTCCCAGCTACCAGAGGGTACACGATGTGAGCTTGAGCCACGCGCTGGGATGGGATGGAGGGAGCCAAGGAGCTATGGCTATTTGAGATGGGTGGCATCAGCAGCTTAAGATGGTTAAGATATCAGACAATGGTGGAAATATGTGGAAATGCTATAGACTTGGAGATGGGACCATATCTAGTCACTCTAATCACCTTTTTTTTGACGGTCATGTAGTCAAAGAGCATGATGAAGAGTCAACGATCTCACAGGTGTTCTCCATGTTTTCTCATTGGAAGCTGCTATGTCTTTTGCAATTCTTCCCATGCTGCTGGGTCTTGCTGTCAAATCCAACAGCTCTGAAAAGAGGCCATGTTGCAGAATCCCTCCAGAATTGGAGATCTTGAGAAGCAGCTGTCGAAACAGCTGGAGGTTTCTCCATCCCTACACTTGTGATTTTCGTGATACCCCCAGCTGGTCAACGTTCTGTGTGTGTGTCCACGTTGGTTTTATATGTACCCGTTTTATGACTTCGTTGGTGAAACCACCAGGAACATTGCCATAGATATTTGTTAGTGTTGATAACACATTGTATCACATGATCATATCATATCATGTCAGAAAATATCTGCCAGCAGATATATATCTATATATTTTTTGCAGATTATTCTTCAACATTAAAAACCAAGTTGAAAGTTGAACAGCTTTTTTTTATGGTGAATAGGTCACCATAGGTCACCCTGCCATTTGGGTCACCTATTGGGTCACCCATTGGGGATCATCGGTTGGGACCTGAGGCAATGAGAATCTGGAAGCCTTGCTGAAACGCTGTAGCCTAGATCCTGCGATTCTTCAGGCGGAAATATCAGGGGAATGGATGGAATGGGAAGTCGCATGAAAAATGGGTTTTTGTAGGTTTTTGTTGCGGATACTGCTGGTTGCTGGTTGCTGGTTGCTGTTCCTTTTTGGATGTTTCAACATCTGTCGTATTTCCAAACCTTGTCGGGTGGTTCTTCGCCGGGTGCTTGCAGATCTATGTGCGCACCTTGCAGCAAATGTTCATGTCAGACCTGTCAGAGTATGCCTGATGTCAGAGTATACCAGATGTTAGATGTTGTCAGACCTACGCCCCAGGTAAAATGTCAGAATGTCAGACGTACGAATATGCGTCAGACTGACTAACATGTCAGACTATGTGTCAGAGTATGTGTCAGGGACAACTTCAGAATATGTGTCAGAACTTAAGGCAGAAGAAATTTTGGGTCATCATGTTCTTCAAATTGTTTTTTTTGCGGTGGAGATGACACAAAGTAAAATATAAGTAATATATGTTCCACTCTTCGCCACAAGCTGGTGCTTGGAATTCTCCACCCCCCCCGAGAAAACAAAAATGCAGAACCCCCAAAATGGGTTTTGAGCATGATCTTTCTGTCGAAAGTTTACAAAGGATGGCCACTCTTGAGGTCCATGTCGCAGCCTTCGGTACAACTCACAGCTGAAAAAACTGAAGGTGGCTAAAAAATTGAAACTAAATTGCCTCGCTTCTGCCTCGGGCTGCAGTTAGGAGAAACCCAGCAAAAAGCTGCTGTACTACGTCCACCGACAATTCTTCTTGGTCTCGTGGCTATTGCTGCAAGTGGAGATTGCAACAGATGTCTTTCCATTTCTTTCTGGATAGATTGACTGTTCCCTCCAAACACCATGCACTTTTTATGGTTGTTTGCTTGACTGACCACCGAACATTTCAAATCATTTGTGTCCTGACTTAAAGGCCGTAGTAAACCGTCCGACAAGGCGGTTCGAAACATGATATCCATGGGATGATGATCCAAATTGTCTCACATTCTGAGGTGGGCCAAATGGCCACCAACTAACTATATGTTTGAACGCCTACGCCAATAATTATCCAAATCCAAAACACATCCAAAGTTGAAAAAAAACCTGAGATTTCGCCCATTTTTTGTGGTGATCTACCATCCCTAGGAGTTGCCCTTCGAAAACCTCAGTGTCTTGCGCGAGAATTGGATTTCCTTGGCCACTGGGGCTGACGATGGGCCGATCGGGACCCGGAACCGGTTTCGGCTCTTTCCATGGGAAATCATGGTACCATGGTTCACCACATTGGGATGGATACATATCACTTATCAAACAATAGAAGATGTGGAAACATATTTGACCAGTGAGGACTGTCCTAGAAGATTGCTATGGTGGTGCTATGGTAGACATGTCATTTGAAAATTCATTTTCGAGCCAATTGAATGATGAGGCGAAAAATGACGATATTTTGTGGTGAAACCACCAGAACCAGATTTTCCCTGGACCCAAAGACGATGACTTCAATGAAGTTGCCAGCGAAAATTGGGAACAATCCAAGAGACACCGGGATGCTACCCGTATGGCTATTCTCCACCACTGGGCTTCCAAAAATAGCCAACAACTGTTTTCTGAAAGAAATATTTTGAGGGACTCAATATATTAGAGATGTATGAAGATCTATTTTTTACAGACTACCAAACAGTAAATGCAATGCTGTGGTTAATGAATGAAGTGAGACTCAAACGATTTGTTGCACCGCGTGTTAAGATCAGCTTCCGATTGCCAGACATCTTTCGCTGAATCCCAAGGATGTCAATGACATCATCAACAAGATCTGTGGTCCTCCGAGGCAGATGGGCTGTGGCAGCCCCAGGCTGTCATCGAATTTGACCACAGAAACTGGGGGATTTTGGTGAGGGAGAAACTCTCCACTGGGAAATCCATGGAAATCCATGGAAATCCCCGAACGGAATGGAGGATGTTCCAGTTCGCTGGGAAGATCATCTGGAGGATGTGACAGATCTGCGATGGACTTGATTACCAGAGGGTAGACTCAAAAACACGACGTCATGGCATGTCATGGCAAGATCATGAAAACAAAAATCCACGTTTTGGATATGTTTGGTGCTACTTAGGCTTAGATTTCATGACTGACTCGGTGTCGCTATGACTCCCTTCTGATCATTTCGACAGGCGGGGGGGATACTGCTTCGAACTGCTCCTCGGCATAGGCTCCCCGATAGTATGGGTTTGTTTGAAAACTTCAGGAATGTAGCAGAATCCATGCAGTGGGTACAACTTCATGCTTCCCATGAATTGAATAATATATGTGTTGATGAGTTTTTACCATTTTTTTAGACAAACAAACCCATATTGAATCCCCCAAAATGTGGAGGTGATACAAAAATAAATGGGCATGCTTACCAGGAATCATTTCGTTGGTGGTTGAACCACCCCCTGAGCCACAAAACAAGTTGGTCAGGGATGGTCAGGGTGGATGTTGAATCATCTTGAACCCTAAAACCGTTGGATACCACTGGGTACTACCATAACCTAAAGAGTGTATACTATATATACTGCAAGAGAATGCAACCATCATGCAGATACAATGAAGAATAGGTAAAAAGAGGCGAGAACCTCTAAACGGCGAGAACCGGAGGCGAATCTCCGCAAGTGGAGTTGGAGGGAATCAATTGAACAATGGCGGGACTAGCTACTGAGTGATCTGAGTGCTGAATTTTGATTACCTGAATGATTTTGAATGCCTGGTATATATCTGAAACATTCTGAAACTGAGACCAAAGACTCTTAATCCAATCCAAAACACCAGTTCAACCAGTTCTTGCAAAGACTCGCTGTCGCAGTGACGCAAAAACTCGTTGTGCTAACCTGCAGCCGAGGAACAAACTCCTTGCATCCATCCTGCAGCACTTGGGTTTCCATGTGCAGCCTTTGGCTTCCCGGGTCTTCCAGGATGATGGGCAAACACCCAGGAGAGCGTTGGGTTGGGGGGTTGGGATATGGTGGGATGTGACCTCTCCCATAAATTGATTTGGCATTTCCATGTGGCATTTCCCAGGCTATGACTGTGACCATTGGATTTTTCCAGACTATCAGCCCAGGCTTCCCACACCACCGGTCCAGACGCACATGTGCCTGAGACTCAGTGAAAGTGGTCTTTCCGAAAAGCCAGTGGACCCCAGTATTTCTTTGGATTCTTGGCTTTACTGGTCAATTAATGGATGATGATGGATGGATAATGGCTGTTTCTGAAATTCACAAAAAATGTTCACTGTCAATTGTTCTGTCCCTGAGGGTCCAAATACTTGCTACTGAAGCCCTAAACATACTCCCGAAAATACTCAGAAGATACAGCTGGAGTTTTTGGGTATGTCAAACAATCCCATGATATCCCATCATAATCCCATCAAAAACCCACCATTTTTCTTGGTGAAATAGGTTACACACATGTTGGCTCAACGACTGGTTCCACCTGGCACCTGACACCTACCGAGGTTTGCTGGTCGCCCCAGAGTTGGGTGGTGAGACCTTTCTTTGCGACGTGGCCTTTGGGAAAGTTGGCTTGTGACTGGACGAAAAGTGCTAGGAACCCTCGGGCAGTCGGGTATGTTTGTGTATGAGTCGTTGATCAGTATGATGATGTATATATATATATATACACACACATATATATATATAATATATATATACGTGTGTGTTTTGAAGCATATTTGACGTCTATGATATGTACATATATATATGGTATGATATAGTATGATTTATGATATTTTCCGGATTGATTGATTAGGTTGGTGAAGTGTCCACAAGCTTGGTCTTGTGTCAGGGTGATGAATTATTTGTATTCCATCCTTTATGAAATGGTATGCCAAGCATGCTATGACTGCTTTCCAAGGGGACATGATTAGTTGGGGCATGCAGCATGCATCGAACAGAATTCATTTGGTCAAACTTGAACGGATAGTTCAATATTCTAATTGTATATTATATATATTATATATATTATATATATTATATATATTATATATATTATATATATATTATATATATATTATATATATATATATATTATATATATTATATATATTAAATATATTATATATATAATATATATTATATATATATTATATATAATATATATTATATATATTATATATATATTATATATTATATTATATATATTATATATTATATATATTATATTATATATTATATATATTATATATATATATATTATATTATATATTATATATATTATATATATTATATATTATATATATATATATTATATATTATATATATTATATATATTATTATATATATAATATAATATATATTATATATTATATATATACAATATCAATACTAGACTGATATGATTCTATAGATCATTAATATAACTTATATACGCCTTCGTCAGCCGGAGATATCTCCCGGTATGCATATCCACCATGGCAGGTTGGAGCCATTGAGCCTGAATATGCTGAACAAAGGAGCGGCACCTAACCGTGGTAGCTGGGGATTATTTCTGGCAAACTGCTGGCTGATTAGGTTTTTTCAAGAAATGACGGTATTTTTTCAAAGAAACATCTGCTGGCCATGTCTGGAATTGGCCTCTTTACTTTTTTTTTTGCCTTTTATGAAGGGTTATATCGTACAAGTATTGTGGGTGTCGCCCATAGCATATGCCATGAGTTTTTCACTGGGTGGTGTGTTACCCCATGGATCACAGCCAGACCATGTCGACAGTCAAGGGACAAGGCACGGTATCCCATGGCACGGCATGCAACAGGAGCTGTAAAGAATGGACACGCGAGTGGCTCAACTGCATGGAATTTCCCACGAAAGTTGGTCATAGAAAACGCGACCAACTTTTGCAGAAGGATTCTATGACACTGAAGGAAGAGTTATGTGAGGCCAAGATAAGCAAGGTTGCATCATAATTGTGGTTTGTTTGTATGTTGTATATTCATTGAAGGCTATCCTATTGTTATAGCTGCAAACGGACCAAGGAATGAAGTTGATAAGCTCCACTCGCCGGCAGATGTCAGGTGGCTGCTGGGAGATTTTTGCAACTTATGGAATATATATATATATATTAGATGTATATACATAATATATATATATATATGTATATATATATAGATATACATTGCGGGAGATATCCTCTGATAAATTGACAAACATGGACCTTGAAAATCATTCATGTTTAGTGAAAACTAATCTTCCAAGCCCTATTTGGCAGGATCTATGTTGATTTACTGGAGGGTAGTTGGATATGAATGGGATACAGTGATATTAAACACCGTTTATAACAAGGAGATGGGATGGGATATTATTGGGTTGATATGATTATAATGCATATATATATATATAATATGGAACAATAATTGCTAATACCGGTGACGATTATGTGAGTTCTGTGATAACCATGATAAACCATCCCAATAGAGGCCCCCAAACAATCGGTTGGTGGAGGTTTAAACAATGAAGCAGCTTGTTGCAGACCTCAAACGTATAAGGCCAGGTTTTTTTTTTGGGTTGGGCGGGATACAGCTTCACATCTAGGGAGTGTACTCCCAAGGTCCTCATTTTGAGTAAGCGGTGAACATGTAGTGTCGGGCTTTAATTCTTCCCTAACATCAGCGTGACATCCACATCGAATTGAAATCAAATGGCCATATATATATATATATACACATACATATATATATATATACATATATATATACATACATACATATATATATATATACATACATATATATACATACATATATACATATATGGGTATGGGTCAAAACTCTGGTACCAATGTTTTCACAGCAAAGTTTAGTTAGCAATTCACTGAATGCAGAGGCATCGGCTTGGACACCCATTGCTCATCATCGAATATGTTGTTTTCGATATCCCCCGAAATGAGCCCTTTCTGCCCATTCTTCCTTTAGAGAGACCCTGAAAATCATTCCTCAAAAAATAGGGATTACTTTAGATATCTCCCTGTATCTTCATATGATTTTTGGGTTTACCACACAATGATTGCTACTTATTTTCCAATGGTTGACATATTTAAGTTGGTGGACTCTGGATGTTATCCCCCGTCAGAGAAACTATCTGGTTCTTGGTTTCAGATATTCTTTTTCAACCATAGGAATGAGGAGGTTAAACCAGCAACATCCTGTGGTTTCCTGCAGTGTCCCAGTAGGCATCGACTACGAGATTTACACCCTGTGGTACACCAGCACCGACACCGAGACCGACTGGATACGGGGATACGCGTGGCTTGACAAAGGTTTTTTTTTCCCGGGACTGTACCTTCACCATGATGACATGATATTACATGATTCATAAATTCATTAGCAGATATCATCATCAGCCTGTACCCGCATTAATGTGGTAAACCCGTTGAGTTTACAACTTTGTTTTGGCTTAGGATTATATTAGGTTAATGGTATGTCTAATCTAATGATAATATTAATCGAAGGAAGTTTAGAAGTCAAACTTCCGACAATATGGACAGATGAAAAGCAGAGATGGGAAGAGTCAGAGAAGAGAAGAGAAGAAGAAAGAAGATCAATTACTTTACTTCGTGCGATCCCCACCATGACATTTATAGATTTTCTTACTGGCAAATCTTCTGGCATTCTATCTGACATATCTTCTGGCATATCTTCTGGCATTCTATCTGGCAAATCTTCTGGCATTCTATCTGGCATATCTTCTGGCATATTATCTTGCAAATCTTCTGGGATTCTATCTGGCATATCGTGTGGCAGTCTATCTGATATTTTTTCTGGCATTCTATGTGGCATACCTTCTGGCATTCTATTTGGCAAATCTTCTGGCATTCTATCTGGTATATCTTCTGGCATTCTATCTGGCATATCTTCTGGCATTCTATTTGGCATATCTCATGGCATTTTCTCTGGCATATCTCATGGCATTTTATCTGGCATATCTTCTGGCATTCTATCTGACATTCTATCTGGCATATCTTCTGGCATTCTATCTGCCCGTTGAGGTCCAGCAGTGCACACTGCGCTGGGCAGGTCCCCGGTTGAGGTCCAGCGGTGCACGCTGAGCTGGGCAGATCCCAGGTTGAGGTCCAGCGGTGCACACTGGGCTGGGCAGGTTTGAGGGTGAGGTCCATCGGTGCACACTGAGCTGGGACGGTCCCAGGTTGAGGTCCAGCGGTGCACACTGAGCTGGGAAGTTGGCAAAGAGCTTGGCGAAGAGAGTTGGCAAAGAGCTTGGCGAAGAGTTGGAAAGGCGGAAGTGCAGGTGGAAGTTGATGCAGGCATGGTCGAGGAGAAACTGGAGGAGGAGGCGAGGAGGAGGACGAGGAAGAGGACAGCTAGTCGAGGAGGAGGAGGAGGCGGCGGGCAAGAGCTCTGATAAAATCTAACAACCCTCACCTGGCAGGTGGGGAAAAAGAGAAAGTCTCGAGGAGGAGGAGGAGGAGGAGGCGGCGGCGGGCAAGAGCTCTGATAAAATCTAACAACCCTCACCTGGCAGGTGGGGAAAAAAGAGAAAGTCTCAGAAGAAAGAAGATCTAGGTGCGCGAAAAGGTAGGAAAGTCGCGAAACACTGTGTTTTCCCAATGGTTTGTGGCTCCGGAGGGTCGAAAAGTAGGCTCGCTAAAGCGGCGGGCGCGGAGCTACACTCAACTTCCCATGTTTGAAGGAAGTCTCGCAGAATGGCTTCGCTTTTGATGTTGTCACCGTCGAAAAATGACGAACTACAACTACCACTACACTACACTACTGCTACGGCTACTAATACAAATATATTACGCTACATTACGCTACACTAATTACACTACACTACACTACACTAATTCCAGTGCACTACACTACACTTGACTACACCACACTACACTGGACTAGACTAGACTACACTACACATACTACACATACTATACTACACTACACAACCCTACACTAATTACACAGCACTACACTAAAACTACACTACCTTGCACTATACTAGGCTACACTACACTAGACTACACTACACTATACCACACTGTACTACACAACACTACACGACATTGCGCTGCACTACGCTACACTAATTACACCACACCACGGCTACAACTGCAACTGCACTTGCAACTACACTAATTAAACTAATTAAACTAATTACACTAATTACACTACATTACACTACATTACACTACATTACAGCTACAACTCCACTCCACTCCACTCCACTCCACTCCACTCCACTCCACTCCACTCCGCTACACCACACTACAACTACAGCTACAAGTGCAACTACAACTACAACTGCGCTACACCACACTACATCCAGCAGTTGTGGTAAGGTGGCCACTACAACCATTGCAACCATTCCAAAAACATAACTCCAATCGCCTGTCGGTCCATCGGTGGATTCGCTCCGCCACGTGTGATTCACAACAACCAACCTCTCCTATTTTTGAAACTTCTGCCACCGCCTTGCGCGGTACTACTGGTAATAGTATATCTAGTGGTATATCCAATGGGATGCCCTCTGGAAATCGAACATGGCGAGCTGGAACAATTCCCCAGCAATAGTTCGATGATTTTCCTAGCTGTAAACCTCCATGGCTAGTTTGGGGATTTCCCAGCGGCTGATGCTTGATTACCATCCAGATATATTCCGTAGAGCATCCCATTATCTCCCCATTTATTGTTGGTTCAAACTTCAAACCACCTTATTGTTGGTTAAACACCATAAATAACATCCCAAATTATTCCCATAGAAATCATAGAACATATGACATACCATAATTTGGTGGGTGTTTTATCCCCAACCGGCCTCAAGGATGGTGGTTTCTACCAAGGTTTCTTCCGGTGCAGGACTGCCATTTGCTGGACTTCATTCCACTGAATGGATCGGCTGCCCCGACAAGCACATTTAAAGGGAACCGGTGCACGAATCATTGGGGCCCTCTGGCTGTTTTTTTTTTTTTGTGGGTGGTACCCCATTTTTGGGGGCACTTAAAATTGATATGCCATGATGTACCAGAAGTGAATAAGTGGTGTTTTCAAATATTGTTCAAGTGTGCCATTTATTGGATGATTTCATTGTATGTCCTCCCTCGTAGTTGGTGCCCTTGAGCTAAGCCATGTTTGTGAGCGTTGAAGGTTGAAGTGGTGTCCAATGAGTGATTTAATGTGGTAAATCCACCAACAAACCATGCTCCACCATCGATTTTACCCCCCATTTGGAGGGTCGTACACGTGTGAGAAAAGGTGGGATGGATGATTGGGAATACCGAATAGTGTGGTTAACCGAATAATAAACCTACCATTTGGCAATTTGGGGATGGGTTTTCACCATCTATCTATGGTGATATAAGGGATGGTTTGTCATGGGGTTTACCACATGGAAACCAACGCCGCTATGGAATCTGCACCCAGTCACCCGAACAGCCCATCACCAAGAGCACGCAAGCCGAACATGACGTTGAAAGTAAGCAGTCCAATATCTAGCAAACCCCAAAAAAGATTGAAACGGAAATCAGTTATGACAATTTTGGTAGGATGTTATTGTTCTATCTGTTTGGGGGTTTAATCATATATAGACACATATGTATCATGGTTGTGGATGACATTCTGCAGCATTTTCTTCCGCCGCGTCCAGGTTCACGGCTACTTTGAAAGCCCCTTCACCCATCGCCTCTGGTGTGAGACTCGCAGCCCATCGCATGTCCGGATTTTTGGCACCTTGCCTTGCATCACCACGGGGCACAACGGGTGTGTCACGGGTTTAGGTGATCTGAGTTGGCAAGGGAAAATCCACCATTTATAGATGATAGTCTTATTGAAACCTCCATGTATATCGGATTTTTAATTGCAATGTTTGATTACCAGAGGGTATATAATATGCATATATTTATATACCTTGTGCCTTACACGGACGAATGAAATTTTGCTTGTTGATGGGAGAAACTCAGGGAAATGGAGCTCCTGTCAAGTCCGCAGGCCAATCCCCCACCCAAGGAACAGAATGGGTGATGAATGATGGCGAGACACTGGGCACTGGCAGGGGACATGGATACCTCCGAGTACTGTCTCTCATGAGGGCCATGATGAGAAATCTGAGGTTGTTTGGCAATAAAGATCTTCAAAGCCTGTTGGTTTTTGTCAAAGTGGGTTTTCAAAAACACATAAAAAAAACACCAAGGGTTTCCTGACTATCATTGGATAGCAGAATGCCATCTGAAATATGAACTAAATATAATATGTGGGAACATATTCAAGTCCAATTCTTTAACCATTATTCCAATAAGCGCGTTCACTCCTGGCACCGCCTGAGTTCGACGTTGGTTCATCAACGATTGATCAACAGAATTGATTGTCACATTGGTGTCATTTTATCGACCATTTGATGGGGATATCGGGATCTCATTGGGTTTTCTTGTGGGGTAATGTCCAACTCATTCATATGGTTGCTCCAAGCAGTTCTAGGCACCCAATGGGGCGGAAATTGGTCATTTGGACATCCAGCCCGGGCCGAGGAAGTCTACCATTGAATCAGGGAGGCATTTGCAGCAGCTCTTACAGTCCCTTGGGACTAGAAGCGACGGAAACCCCTTGGGAAGCCTGAAATTGACGAACCTACTTGGCGAAGTTCGGCTGTAGCACGGTCACCCACCTTTGACATGGATTTAGGATAGATATATCTATAGTCAGATGATGTCAGATGAGTTTATAAACCAGCTTGCAATTAGAGGTCACCAGCTTGTGGGGATGACTGGTACATATACCATGGTAGCAAACCAGCGGTATACTGTACCCCAGAGATTCAGAACATTCTAGATTCTAGTCCTAGGCATTATATCTGCAGCAGTTACAAGATTTGCTAAACACCAGTTACTAAACAGCTTTCCCGTTTGATGACGTGGCACATTGCAGTACAACCAGTACGTTCCTCTGGTGAACCACCCCCTTTCACCTTTGCAATTTTTTCTTGGATCCGAACTGGGCAACTTCTGACTGGACACGGCCTCACTGATGGATTTATAAGGAAAATCGGAACTCTGTGATTTTAGGCTGGATCAGTTTTGTCCCAATTTGCCAAGATACTGCGCAAAACGATTATTGACATCGTGTGTTTTGTTTTTTTGCTGAACGGTGTGATCCACAGCATTTTTCACCATCTTTCCCTGCCCAAATTTGACCCAACGCCCCCTGGAAATGTAATGGAAGGAAGTTTAGAAGTCAAACTTCTGACAATATGGACAGATGAAAAGCAGAGATGGGCAGAGTCAGAGAGAAGAGAAGAGTAGAAGAGAGAAGATCAGAGAAGAAAAAGAGTCAGAAGAAAGAAGGTGCAGATGCGCGAAAAGGTAGGAAAGTCGCGAAACACTGTGTTTTCCCAATGATTTGTCGAAAAGTAGCCTCGCTAAAGCGGCGGGTGCGGAGCCATCTGGCCAGATGAGAGCTGACAAATTGCACGCCGTTGTGGCGCGAAGCACATTTCGAAGTCAAAATGTACAAAGCACACCAGCTTCGGACCACTCTTAGTAGTTGAGATGTCCAAAAAGTGCACGCCGTTGTGGCGCAAAGCACATTTTGAAGTCAACATGCTAAAAACACCACATGTTCGCGCCACTTTTGGAAGTTGAGATGTCGAAAAAGTGCACGCCGTTGTGGCGCGAAGCACATTTTGAAGTCAAAATGCTAAAAACACCACATGTTCGCGCCACTTTTGGAAGTTGAGATGTCGAAAAAGTGCACGCCGTTGTGGCGCGAAGCACATTTCGAAGTCAAAAGTGCAAAAAATTGAAAGGTACGGAGCACTTTTGGACGTTAAGATGTCGTTTCGCGTGGCAGGCGCAAGCGATTGTGCACCTTCTCAATCCTTCTCACAAGTGAGCAAAACGTGACGGTTTTGTAGCATTTCCAAAAACGATGGCAGGCGTGGGACATTCGAAGAGGATCTGCAAAGATGCATGTCGTGTGGCAGGCGCAGTACAAAAGACATGTTCATCAGAGATGTTAGGAGGCCAGGGCGCTGATTTCCTGAGAGGGGTTGCATTTTGGAGCATCAGATTTGTCGGTTTGCTAAGATGATTTTGCGTGACAGGTGCAGCACTTCGTATGACCTGGCATCCATTTTTCGTGGCAGGCGCAGTACTTTAGACAGGTGGAGTGGAAAAATGCATTGGTACGAGGCCGTCAGCGCTGCACTCAACTTTCCATTTTTGAAGGAAGTCTCGGAGAATTGCTTTGTTTTTGTTGTCAAATTCAAAAATTGAAGAACTCTCGCAGAATTTGCTTCGTTTTGGATGTTGTCCACTTCGAAAATTAAGGAAGTCTCGCAGAATTGCTTCGTTTTTGATGTTGTCAACTTCGAAAAATGAGGAAGTCTCACAGAATAGCTTGGTTTTCAAGCTGGCACAAAGACAGGTAGATAGATAGACAGACAGACAGAGAGACAGATAGATAGATAGGTAGATGGGTAGATAGATGGAATAGACGGATACATGGATAGGTGGATAGATAGATAGATAAATAGATAGAGAAATAGATAGATAGACAGAAAGATAGACAGAGAGAGAGAGAGAGAGATATATATATATATAGATAGATAGATAGATAGATAAGATTAGATTAGATTAGATTAGATTAGATAGATAGATAGATAGATAGATAGATTAAATACATTAGATGGATAGATAGATAGATAGATAGATGGATAGATAGATAGATAGATAGGATAGATTCGATAGATAGATACATAGATAGATAGATAGATTAGATAGATAGATAGATTAGATAGATAGATTAGATAGATTAGATAGATAGATTAGATAGATTAGATAGATTAGATAGATTAGATAGATTAGATAGATTAGATAGATTAGATAGATAGATATATAGATAATTAGATAGCTAGATAGCTAGATAGCTAGATCGATAGATAGATAGATAGATAGATTAGATAGATTAGATAGATTAGATAGATTAGATAGATTAGATAGATTAGATAGATTAGATAGATAGATAGATAGATAGATAGATAGATAGATAGATAGATTAGATTAGATTAGATTAATAGATAGATAGATAGATGGATAGATAGATAGATAGATTAGATAGATTAGATAGATTAGATAGATTAGATAGATCGATTGATAGATTGATAGCTAGCTAGCTAGATAGATAGATAGATCGATTGATAGATTGATAGCTAGCTAGCTAGATAGATATATAGATTGATAGATTGATCGGTAGGTAGGTAGGTAGGTAGGTAGATAATCAGAGAAAGAGAGAGAGAGAGAGCAAAAGATAGAGAACAAATGAGAGAGATCAATCACCTTTCAGTCCATCAGTGGCTTCGCTCTGCCATCCGTGATTCACAACAACCAACCTCTCCTATAGGTTTCCTATTTTTGAAACTTCCGCCACCGCCTTTTGCGGGACTAGTGGTATCATAGAACATAATAACATAGCATATATGGACAATCACCATGTTTGATAGGTAAATCGTGGTAGATCATCATATATCATCTATTATATCATCTATAGAATCTATAGATTGATGTTTTTCTCACAGACAGTATCAGTTCTCGACCAGGTCACACTTCAGACTGGACTTGTCCCTGGAAGAGTGCCGTAACCTTTATGGCGCGCCGGCACTGTAGCCCATTCCATCTCATGGCTTTTCCCGAAATGAAGCTGGTTTCAAATCTTCCAGTACAATAAAATATACATCTCCAATCGACGTTCTATCAGTTCTATCCCATGAAATAAGCTTCCGAACCAACCTCGGCTGGCAAATCCCCAGAACTAGCGGCATTTTCTATCGCCATCTTTGATTGGACACCCATGGGGCCATGGACTCCTGAATACAAGCGCCAGTGATTGTCTATGATTGTATGGAAATATCATGAAATTTATACAGATATAAAATGGATACCTAGACCATCAGTGTGTACCCATGAAAATTGCCATGGTAAACCCCATAATTTCAGTACTTTTAGCTATGTTCAGAGGTACAAACGGAGGGTATAGGTTGATAATTATATGATATGTATATATATATATATATATACATATAATGATAATGTTAGCTCCTGATTAGTAGCTAGGGTCGCTATTGTGGCATTTTCCAAATTATTCTGAACTCATGTATTGTTTGGAGGGTTCGCTTTTGTGGCAAAACAAAATTGGGAGAGCCATTTTTTTTGAAAAAAAAAAATGTAATTGCTGAGAGGCATTTTTTTTCTCAAAAACGCTGTAGCTCAGTCAAGTTTTTGCTCATCTCTCTATCTGAGCCTGTAAATGCATCTCTATCTGAGTAGGTTTGTTTGCTGGGTTCACTATTGCAGCATGCTGTGCCAGAGCAGCCCCTGGAAGCCCAGAAGGGAAGCAAGCCTTTTCCAAAATTGCCAAATTCAAACTCCAAGCCTTTCCCAAAAGAACCAATCCCTTATTAAACCCTTATTAAAGAACAGCTCTTCCACAGTTTTCCAAGGCCCTGGACCAGGAGAGGCTCCATTTCACTTTAGTAGGTTTGTTTGCTGGGCTCACTATTGCAGCAAGCTGTGCCAGAGCAGCCCCTGGAAGCCTAGAAGGGAAGCAAGCCATTTCCAAAATTGCCAAATTCAAACTCCAAGCCTTTCCCAAAAGAACCAATCCCTTATTAAACCCTTATTAAAGAACAGCTTTTCCACAATTTTCCAAGGCCCTGGACCAGGAGAGGCTCCATTTCACTTTAGTAGGTTTGTTTGCTGGGTTCACTATTGCAGCAAGCTGGGCATGAGCTGGTTCAGTGTCTCTTGAGATTTAGCTGAGTATAAGCTAAACATGGGCCGAGCATGAGCTGAGCATGTGCTGGGCATGAGCTGAGCATGAGCATGAGCTGAGCATGAGCTGAGCATGAGCTACAAGTACTACAAGTACTACAAGTACTACAAGTACTACAAGTACTACAAGCACTACAAGTACTACAAGTTCTACAAGTACTACAAGTACTACAAGTACTACAAGTACTACAAGTACTACAAGTACTACATGTACTACAAGTACTACAAGTACTACAAGTACTACAAGTACTACAAGTCCTACAGGTACTACAAGTACTACAAATACCACAACTTCATCGGCAAAAAAAACAATAGTAATTAGATTTCATTTGTAGCCAATTGAAATCCTTACTTAATTGAGGATATGTTTTTCTTTTGGGAAGAAAATTTTTGACTTTCTACTTTAAAGAGAGTCCAGATATAGTCTAGGGGGGGGCACACACTAATCAGGAACCAACATTAAAATACACATCAAGTTGCCAGATAAAATTGCCAAAAAATCCCACGAATCCGACCAGTTTCTGCCTGAAAAATGGAATCTAAAATGGCAGGTTTGGCTCAGGCGCCGGAGCCTAGCGAGAAGCTTCTCGGAGTAGAAGTGCAACCCATGTTTGTGAAAAATGTCGGATTTTATAGGGAAACTATGGGAAATTGAGGTTTTCAGATATTTTTAATCCGTTGGCGTTTCAGGGCTTCCCAGGTATATGTTCGGGAAAACCCAGTGGACCTGAGAAAAGAGGGATTCGGGGTTCAAGACATCAAAGTCTAGACCGTAAGTATGGAAAAGATCTGTACATGGGTTTTATGTGCGAGATGTGGAACAATAGTATACACAGCCTGTACCTGGTCCATAGGTAGTTTTACCATATTTTTTCGAGATTTGGAATGCCGACCACGCCCCACAAAAGATGATTGACATTGGGGAAAGCATGAAACTCACTGTCTGAAAATAAGTTCACTTTCTGTCATATGAGGATTTTGGTGTAATATAGCCAACAACAATGGATGTAAAATCAGGGATCAACCGACTACAATGATATTGATGGTGGTGCTGATAATGCTGAGGTAAATCAGAATGGCTTAAGTTATCCATTGATATCCCATGAAACCTCCAAGGATTTCTGACCCAGGTGGTCTCGCTTGCTGGCCTTGCGTCGCCGCGCGGCGCGCCTTCAAGCGCCGGCCCTGTCGGCCCTGTGGCACTGGATGTCGCTGATGGCGGTCCCAACTGTGGCGCTGGCGCTCTGCTGGAGGTTGGCGCGGAATATTCGAAAGTACCCTGGTTTGTTGGTTATTTTTACTGCAGAAGTTATTAGAGATTATAACCTATAAGGAAACCATGGGAAACCTATCAAACACCCAGAATCAGAGCGGATAGGAATATTTTCCTAGTTCATATGGAACTTACTTTTAGCTATGTTCAGAGGTACAAACGGAGGGTATAGGTTGATAATTATATGATATGTATATATATATATATACATATAATGATAATGTTAGCTCCTGATTAGTAGCTAGGGTCGCTATTGTGGCATTTTCCAAATTATTCTGAACTCATGTATTGTTTGGAGGGTTCGCTTTTGTGGCAAAACAAAATTGGGAGAGCCATTTTTTTTGAAAAAAAAAAGATGTAATTGCTGAGAGGCATTTTTTTTCTCAAAAACGCTGTAGCTCAGTCAAGTTTTTGCTCATCTCTCTATCTGAGCCTGTAAATGCATCTCTATCTGAGTAGGTTTGTTTGCTGGGTTCACTATTGCAGCAAGCTGTGCCAGAGCAGCCCCTGGAAGCCCAGAAGGGAAGCAAGCCTTTTCCAAAATTGACAAATTCAAACTGCAAGCCTTTCCCAAAAGAACCAATCCCTTATTAAACCCTTATTAAAGAACAGCTTTTCCACAATTTTCCAAGGCCCTGGACCAGGAGAGGCTCCATTTCACTTTAGTAGGTTTGTTTGCTGGGTTCACTATTGCAGCAAGCTGTGCCAGAGCAGCCCCTGGAAGCCTAGAAGGGAAGCAAGCCATTTCCAAAATTGCCAAATTCAAACTCCAAGCCTTTCCCAAAAGAACCAATCCCTTATTAAACCCTTATTAAAGAACAGCTTTTCCACAATTTTCCAAGGCCCTGGACCAGGAGAGGCTCCATTTCACTTTAGTAGGTTTGTTTGCTGGGTTCACTATTGCAGCAAGCTGGGCATGAGCTGGTTCAGTGTCTCTTGAGATTTAGCTGAGTATAAGCTAAACATGGGCCGAGCATGAGCTGAGCATGTGCTGGGCATGAGCTGAGCATGAGCATGAGCTGAGCATGAGCTGAGCATGAGCTACAAGTACTACAAGTACTACAAGTACTACAAGTACTACAAGTACTACAAGCACTACAAGTACTACAAGTACTACAAGTACTACAAGTACTACAAGTACTACAAGTACTACAAGTACTACAAGTACTACAAGTACTACAAGTACTACAAGTACTACAAATACCACAACTTCATCGGCAAAAAAAACAATAGTAATTAGATTTCATTTGTAGCCAATTGAAATCCTTACTTAATTGAGGATATGTTTTTCTTTTGGGAAGAAAATTTTTGACTTTCTACTTTAAAGAGAGTCCAGATATAGTCTAGGGGGGGGCACACACTAATCAGGAACCAACATTAAAATACACATCAAGTTGCCAGATAAAATTGCCAAAAAATCCCACGAATCCGACCAGTTTCTGCCTGAAAAATGGAATCTAAAATGGCAGGTTTGGCTCAGGCGCCGGAGCCTAGCGAGAAGCTTCTCGGAGTAGAAGTGCAACCCATGTTTGTGAAAAATGTCGGATTTTATAGGGAAACTATGGGAAATTGAGGTTTTCAGATATTTTTAATCCGTTGGCGTTTCAGGGCTTCCCAGGTATATGTTCGGGAAAACCCAGTGGACCTGAGAAAAGAGGGATTCGGGGTTCAAGACATCAAAGTCTAGACCGTAAGTATGGAAAAGATCTGTACATGGGTTTTATGTGCGAGATGTGGAACAATAGTATACACAGCCTGTACCTGGTCCATAGGTAGTTTTACCATATTTTTTCGAGATTTGGAATGCCGACCACGCCCCACAAAAGATGATTGACATTGGGGAAAGCATGAAACTCACTGTCTGAAAATAAGTTCACTTTCTGTCATATGAGGATTTTGGTGTAATATAGCCAACAACAATGGATGTAAAATCAGGGATCAACCGACTACAATGATATTGATGGTGGTGCTGATAATGCTGAGGTAAATCAGAATGGCTTAAGTTATCCATTGATATCCCATGAAACCTCCAAGGATTTCTGACCCAGGTGGTCTCGCTTGCTGGCCTTGCGTCGCCGCGCGGCGCGCCTTCAAGCGCCGGCCCTGTCGGCCCTGTGGCACTGGATGTCGCTGATGGCGGTCCCAACTGTGGCGCTGGCGCTCTGCTGGAGGTTGGCGCGGAATATTCGAAAGTACCCTGGTTTGTTGGTTATTTTTACTGCAGAAGTTATTAGAGATTATAACCTATAAGGAAACCATGGGAAACCTATCAAACACCCAGAATCAGAGCGGATAGGAATATTTTCCTAGTTCATATGGAACTTGTTGACAGAAGGGGATATAATGTGATAACATCTATATGAATTAATGAATGTTAATGAACATGGGATGTGAAATTGGATATATCAACTGTTTGTTTTTTTTTAAAAAAAAATTGATTCGTGACGAATGTTATATTACTTTTAACTAATGGATATTGTATGTATATATATATATATTAATGATTGATGTGAATCAATATGTTGGATCAGCTCCATCAAAACGACCCAAATAGTTTTGTCATGTGGGTATGGCTCAAACATAGGATACCCATGGACGTAAAAGATTGGTCCTTTTGAGTATTCAACCATGTTTGTTTGAGGCTAATATATTTTTTGGACCATACCCAAGTTGTGGAACTGGACTCTGGAGATTGCTCATCACGCGTTTCATGATGATGATGATGATGATATATATATATATTATTTGATATATATATATATATATTATATTCAAATGATCTATATTATATATGATATTTGATATATATATATATATGATATATGTGATATATATATATATATACAAGATATATATATATATATGATATATATATATATATATGTGGTATATCTATGATGTATGTGATATATATAGATATATATGATAGATCATGATATATATACATATTATATGTGATATATATATATAAATGATATATATGATATATATATATATATATGATATAATATATATTATATGATATATATGATATATGTGATATACATATATATATATATGATATATATATATATATATTTTATGATATATATGAACTATTTGATATATATTATATACATATTATATTATATATGTATATTATATATACTTGTTTGTTTATATATATATATATATATCAATTTAATTTTATAATGGAACACATTTTTCGTTGGATACGAAGTTCACTCTGGTTTGTCCAGCTATGGGGATGTCACCCAGCCATCGGGATAGAATGGGACAATGGCATGTGGTAAGAGCTGGTGGGGTTGCTCCATGGTGCAGTTTGAACTGACAATTTGGAAACAAACAAGTCTTACTGGTGCTTAGCAGGAATGAGGGAATGATCCATAATCACTATCAACAATCATCCCATTCCCCCATTCCAACCCAATCTCTTCTAAGCACCAGTAAGAAGTGGAATTTCAAAAACATCAACAGGGACAGAAGCAAGCCAGACTGTTGTTTCGAAACCGAACGACCCATCAGAAGAATACAGAATACTCTTGATTAATGGTGTATTGCAGGAGAAAGGATGATTCTGCGATGTTTCTATGCAGCTGAAATCATGGCCCAACACCAACCCCCCAGCTTTGGAGGCTGCGAGCAAGAACAACCTGATGGCTCAGTGAGGGCCAAAACGAGCTGCTGACCCTCTGGTGGTTTGTTTTGCCGAGGGCCGTGACTCGATGATCGACAGATGGTTGAAGAATGTTGGTGAATAATTCCAACGACATCTTGATACGTCATGATTTCAGTAAAATGGAACTACATGATACCTGATACCTGTCATACATTTACAGATCTTTACATGATATGTCGAATCGGCAGGATCCTAGATTCGGATGATGGAGAGAACATTTTGTAAAGCCCTTGCTGAAGGGTTTTTCTCACAATTTCCTCCAAGCACTGACTTGGAGAAGAGCCAATCCCTTCCACCAGAGTGTCTGCACCGTTGTCAAGCTATGACCTGCACCAACATGGGACAGGCCATTGGAGCGGACTGTGTTAGAAGGTGAGATGGCTTTGGCAATGACCCGAGTTCGAGCTCGCGATCTGCCGCAGTGGATTCCACTCCAGTGCGCTGTCTGATCAAAAATACACACTTTTAGAGAATTATGTGTGTGTCCAGACATATTATGGGCCCAATCCCAGTAGTTTTCCTTACTACAGTAGAAATGAAATGTAAAGGTAGGAGTGTTTCGGCCCTCCGCTATATACTTCTTGACACCCTGAATGCCAGTGGGTTTGAACCATGAAGGTTTCTTTGTTCCTTTTAATCACCGCATCCTTTTCCCCATTAAGATCTCGAATTCTGCGCGGACCATTTTGCATAGCACAACAAAGACCCCTTAGGAAATGACCAAGAAACCAAACATCTAAATCTATTATAGATCAAACATATACATATATATATATATACATACAGACATTTATGTATACATATATATATATATATACACATATATAATATATTTACATATATATATATATGTATATATATATATATCTGTACTATACACTATTATGTACAGTAATCTATCTATCTATCCATCTATCTATCTATCTATCTATCTATCTATCTATCTATCTATCTATCTATCTATCTATCTATCTATCTATCTATCTATCTATCTATCTATCTATCTATCTATCTATCTATCTATCTATCTATCTATCTATCTATCTATCTATATATGCACATATCGTTTATTTAAAACTATTATATATCAACCATATTGTTCACATATTCACTGATCCTCAACAGCCACTCAGATCGACCCATGGCAGGTCGATGGTAGCAGACAACACGGAAAATTTTTTGGAGGACCTGGCGATAGCGAGATGCACCCCCAACTGGAGCCAGAAACATTGCTATAAGATGGGTCATGTTGTAACACTTTGATGGGGATATCATAGAATAATGATGGACAGGTCATGCGGACTTTTCTTGTGGGATTTAACCAACTCGAGTTTTTTTTGCGTGTGGGGGGTGAAATGGTTAGTTAACCATCAACATATATATATATATATATATATGGGATACGATGGGGATACAATGGATATATGGGTTTACAACTAAGATAATCTACCTTGATAGGACAAGGTTGCTTCAATCCATTCTAGGTAATTGATAGCCTTTTTTTTGGGAAGCCACTAGTCATGTTGTCTCTTTAATCTACCCAGTTCCCCCTGTATTTGGGGTGCTGGGAGCAACTCTGTTTGGGGTTTATTCTTTTCGTTTCAGGCTTGCTTGCTTTTTGGCTGGCTTGCTTGCTTGCTTACTTGGCTGCTTCCCTTCCTTCCTTCCCCTCGTTTCATCCTTTGTCCTGGCTTGTTTGTGTGTGGCTTGCTGGCTTGCTTGCTTGCTTGCTGGCTGGCTGGCTGGCTTGCTTGCTTGCTTGCTTGCTTGCTTGCTCGCTCGCTTTGTGGCTGGCTATGGAAATTGAACTAAAAAATCCCGCGGAAATTGAAAACAAAAACCGTAAAATAGGGTACCCAATGCTATTGCCCTCAGCAGCCCCTGAATCACCTTTGAATGAACAGCCTGAATCAACACTAAATAAATTGTTAAATTAACCCTAAATAAACCCAAAGCCAACCCTTAAAATCCTTAAAAGGCGGCACCTTCAATCACTACAACAACCTTCAATACACCATAAACCATTCCTAAATAAATACCCTAAACCAAGCCTAATTCAAACCTAAACCAACTTTAGTAATTGCTTCAAACCTTTAAGCAAAATCAAACACGTCTTCAATAAACTTACAAAAAGGCCTCTAATCTTTAAACCACCCCTCAACAACCCCAAAACCAATTTCAAACAAACCCGTAAATCAACCCTAAATAAACCCTAAACCAACCCTTAAAACAACACTAAACTAACCCTGAATAAACCCTAAACCAAGTCTAAAACCAACCCAAATCAACCCTAAACCAACCTTAAAACCCAACCCTAAATAAGCCTCGAATACCATTTCCTGGGGAAAACACTTTTGGCACCTCCTGGATCTGGTTTGACACACAAATTGTATCAAATTGTGGCTCGAAACGAGTCCGGGCTGAATCTGGGTTTCAAACGCACCAGATATGACATCAATGAACATTATATATCCAGTTAAATCAGTGATTTTCTGAATGGTGGATCAATCTTCAAAATCAGAACCACAAGTGTTATTCGTTTTTTAGCAGAATCACCATTGTTTTCACCTTTCGGCGCAGGTTCGGTGTCACAAGGTCCTGATTTGTGATCCTCGGGACAGCTGGGCGGTGCGACTAGGATAACCAGGTCTTGGATCAGTTTTTTTAGGGTTATGAGGATTATGAGGTGTTTTCTGTAGATTTGTTATGGTCACTATGGTCACTAATATTTGTTGTTCGGGTACCTGGCGCTCAGCAGTCGCGTTTCAAAGCTGTGCATACAAATCACTATGTCAGACTCCATGACATCCAATGACATCTATGACTGGGAAGATAGTGAGAAATAGTGCGATCTAACCACTATTTGTTCACTTTGTTCACCAACCAGTCTTGGATCAGTCTAGATTCCGGCAGAAGTCGGATGACAGGCTCCGATTTGAATATAGATTTTTCGTGTCCAATCATATCCAATAAGATGTTTTATAGATTCCCTCCGGTAATCAAACATGGCAATGGAAAATCCCCTATCAATCATCCGATAAATATTTTAAATATGTCGGTTTATAGCTGGGAACAGAATACAATGGTGGATTTTCCAGCAAGCCATCTTCGATTACCGGAGGGTATTCCAATCAAATAAAGTAAACAAATATGAACGTCTCTAGCTGCAGAGGACCAAATGATCTTGGACCCTGCAGCTCTTCGGACGGAGGCGCGTTTTGTCAATCTGGCCAGATCCAAATCGCATGCTGTTAATCTGAAACGCTCCATCCAATGGTCCCAAATATGTGTGTAAACCCCTGAGGAAAGTATGGTTTCTGCGGTGAATCGCATGGGGGATATTGACCAGCTAAAATGGGTTGGAAAAACCTGCGTTTTTGCTGGGGAGCACTGGGGATGATAGGAGAGATGATAGGCCCCACCAGTGATGGTTGGATGTAGGTGGCAATTGGGCCATACTCTCACCATTTCTGGCATTGTTTACTAGCCTGATGGGTTTTTGTGGGAGGTGTGGAACGTTCAGTCTCATTGATGATTGCTTCTGTCCCAATCTGAGGGTTGTGTCACTGTCTTCATGTTTGATTGGTTATATATATATCACATGATACACATGGTCATACAATATGATCGTTGTATAAGTGTATACGTATACATAATGTGTATATGTATATATATATATAGATAAATCAAAAAAAAATAATATATAGACAGATACACAATATACACCCATATCCTTTATTGACCCACTTGTGGATTTGTTTTTGGTAGTGTACCCATTTTTTTGTGGATTCTATCCTCATGGATGCCCGCCTGCCATGCTCCGCAGCCTGGCCATCAGGTTGCTCTGAAAGTCTTGGAGCGGCTCTCTTCAGAGGTTCTGCTGATGGATCATCGGTTGAAAGCTGGTAAGGAAAGCCATGATGATTGCCATTGACATCAGCCACTATGTGTCAAAGATAGCCCAAGTGAAATTGGGACTAGTGACTCAAAGTCAGCTGGTTTTTGTTCGACACCGTGATTTGGAGGATGAATGTGACGTCACTGGAATGATGGTGAATGTGGAATCATCCCCAGCCATGGCCATATGATATCAGCCATTTTCAGGTTAGTGAATCTTTACATATCATTACTTACATGTCAGCCAGAATACGTATATGTCTTGGGCTGGGCTGAGAATCACGCGGCCAGAGGAGCATTCCCGTCAGTTCCAAGGCATGCGTCAAACTATACGGGACCAGTTTGTACTTAAACATGCCAAAGACGGGAGATTTATACCAGCTCTTTTTGGTGATATTGGGGATAGTTTCTACTTGGGTGTACCACATTCTCATCCACTAGCCTTAAATTTGGTGGGGAAAATAGATGGTAAAATCCCAGCCATAATTTCAAAATAATTTGGGGGATATAACATGATATAAAACCTTATTAAGTCCATGTTATTTTGGGGAAAGTGGTGACTGGACTATTGAAGCCACGCCAGGAGCGGATCCAGGTGGATGATGGAAGCCTGAAGTCCTTTGAGGAGGCCTGGCTTTGGTGGGTCATGGCTACCAGCATTGCAAGGGGAAAACTAGTGACTTTAGACGCAACGCCCACCATTCGCCCCACAGTTTACTTGGGGTAGGATGGGGTGGGGTGGAATGGAGTGGGGTGGGATGTAAACGTTCCCTCGGCCATGTTCCCTCGACCATGCACAAGATGTTGATGCTAGGCTCACAGTGGGTGGGGTGGGGTGGGGTGGGGTGGGGTGAGGGGATGCTAACATTCACCCGACTTTGCACAAGACTTTGATGCTGCATCATTGGGGTGGGGTGGGATGGGGCGATAATAAGGCTCAGTCGACCTTGCGCAAGACTTTGATGCTGCGCCCAAGATGATCTAACTATCATGGTTTAAGGTGGGGTGGGGTGGGTGCATTTTGCAGTAATTTGCTAAGATTCTGTTAGAGCTGTTCGTTCTTACAAGATTGCTGGAACTGTGCATTTTGCAACGGTTTGTTCGGATTCTGTTTGAACTGTTAGTGCAACCAAAAGTGCTGGAACCGCGCATTTTGAACCAATTTTCAAGGATTCTGTTGGAAGAAGACGATGGCCATACCAATGATGTTGTTGATGATGGTGATGATGGTGATGATGACGGTGATGATGATGATGATGATGATGATGATGATGATGACGGTGGTGACGATGACGATGATGATGATGATGATGATAATGATAATGATGATAATGATCCCGTCGAACTCTGGCAGAAGCAGGGCAAATGGTGGGAGCTGATCGTGGCCTTACTAGGTAAATGATAGTAATATCATAGGTAAATAATAGTAATATATTACGTACATGGGGGTAAATGATACGAAATGATAGACACTAGATTCTAGTTTTCCCCCCATGGCCCCATGATGGGAAAAGTAAATGATAGTAAAAAATCAAACCGTCAACTAGACAGGTTTCCCCATGTAGCTAGAAATACACTTTTCATCACTTCTCTATATAGGTCAATGGGGGAAATGATAGTAAATGATAGACACTTTTCTTGGGGGGAAATGATTAGTCACCTCTTTATGTACCATATTGCCATAATAGCCCGATCATCTTAGTATATTGCCACACAAAAAGAAGCCACCCCCAATGATCAACCATAATGGTGGCTGCATATGATCAACCATCACAAGTAGGGCTATACCATGTCGACATGTTGTTCGCAATTTAAACAGATGGTAAATCGGTTCCAATAGGGGATGCTGACCATCATCATAGATACTCATCAAGTAGCATTAAGTGGCTATAACTGGACATTTCAATGGACATTGAGTGGCTATAAGTATAGATACCCATTAAGTATCAATGCCCAACAGCCATCCGTTGATTCTTTGGACATTTCAATGGCTCCAAAGTCCTCTCCGACCGGATCGAGGCCTGGCGTTTCTTCGACGTCCTGTTCTCGCTTCGAGAGGGCGAAGAGGAGAAGCGGCATCCCAGTGGGCCCCGAGAACCGACCGGAGAGAGAGCAATAAGACCAGGCAATTATAGCATGATGTATGTCGTATTTTTTTTATAATGTAATATATTCTTATATAATATTTTATGTTATTATATTATATTTTTATTATATTGTATAATATTGTGCTTTATTTTTTATACCATATTAAATTTTACTATATTATACTATACTTTATTAAATTATACTATATAATATTTACTATAATTTATGATACTATATTATATTGTATTATTTTATATTATATTATGTTATATTATATTTTATTATATTATATTATTTTTTATTATATTATATTTTAATTTTATTCTATTATATTGTATGATATTGGATATTTAATAAAATGATAATTTTGTATAGTATGTGTTTTTAAAAGTATAGTTTATCGTATTTTATCATCACCACCCCTTTAGGCTAATTGCAAGCAGGGGGGCGTTCCAAAAATGTAGATTGCAATTTTGCCCCCCCCCCCGGACTTTTATCATATTTCATTATTATTTTTATTATTTTATAGTATATTTATATGTTATTATATGTAATATAATGCATTTTTTATATGTATATATATATATATACATGAACACGTATATACATATATAGTAATAAATAATTTAATAAAACTTAAGATAGTATAACACAATATAAAATAAAATATACTGCAATGCAGTATATATATATATACGTGTCATAAAGCGCTACTGAAACAAACCACAGGTGGTCAAAGATATCCCTGACATCAGTGAAAATCATCATTCCTGTGCCAGGACGATGCCTTCTGTGGCAGGCAGGGCTATTTGGAGTTCCTGTTAAAAAAGATCAGCAGTTTTTGATAGTTTTGGAATGAGGAATATTGGACGATATTTGATGATTATTTGGAATGAGGAATGAGTATTTGGAGAGTTGTTTGGGAAATACGTTGATGATCTTTGATGACTATCAGTCTTTGCATCTATGAGGAATGTTGGAACATATTCGTATTGATGGGCGTTTCTTCATTTTTTCCAGTTGTGAAAATGGATTGGCTCAAATTGTTGACACCGTTGGATGCTTCCACCTTCTCCTTCCCGTTGGTTGTGCCCTCCGGAAATGAAACATGGTTTGCTTTATAATCCTTATTTAGTTCGATGATTTTCTCATCTATAATGTTTTACAAACCTCTATAGCATTTGTTCCATCATTTCCCCATATCAATGGAGGTTTTCCATTGATTTTCCATAATCTCCATGGTTTTTCCAGGTCGCGACAGCTGGCGGCTGCGGATTCAAGACCAGAGGTGCCGAAAGAAAGAGATCAAAACGGCACGTCCTATTTAAAGTCAAGATATTGAAGATCCATGAATATCCAACATTTAGTTTTGTTTTTTAAATAAGTACTGACTTTTTACTGGATATTTAGTATTAGTCATGCCATTCTATGTAAAATAAATCTACTGAAATGCACAATAACTATTATTTACCATCCAGCAGTTGTTAGTGGGATATTTACTATCCAACTGGTTTGCACCGTCGGAGGGCTGGAAGAATGGGAAAATCGGATCATCTTACATTAAACATATAAATTAATATCGGATCTATCCTAAATATACACAATATACTGATTGACATTTCGATCTTTACCTAAAGTATAGGGGTAAGTCACACTGGCTTTTCCGTGGATTTTGTCTATTACTCCGTTGATTTGGGGATTCAGAAGCAGTGCCAGCAACTTGGCAGAGACGGGATCTCAGACGGTGACCCGGTTGTTGTTGGCAGGGCACTGAAACGGTGATTTTTCCGGGATTTTCTCCCCAAGATCCAGCAGGAACAAGCTGATTGAACGAGATTGAACTGGTTTCATGAGGAGTTGGTACATGTTAGTACAAGAGGTTGTGAATCCAATGCGGGAGGTGATCATGATCTAATTTATTGATACTTATTGCCTTTGCTTGGAACTCCTATGCAGTCTCAAAGGAGTCAGGATGTCCACTAGAGCAACAGGCTTTTCTCTCAATCTGCATTAGTGGATGAATTCAGATGTCATCTCAGTATGTGGAGGAAGACGTCGAATATTGTGCCTTTGTTGATTGAAAAGCACGTTTGTTGCTAATGCGGCTCCATTCGTATGTACCCTATTTGTTGGTTGGTTGCACCTTCCCTTTCTTGTTGCTTGCTTACCCTCTTTGGGGTTGTATATGGATTGTTCCATTTCAGCAACCTATACATTGCTAGTTATTTTATTATGTGTCTGTAGAAACATATGTATATTATGTGTATACATACATATTACTTATGTGAGGAATATCCCTCAATTGTTGGATCCTCGACTTTGGATAGCAGAATTGTCCTGTTCCAAGGCACACGCGGGGTTTTCCCAAGATTGAAACGTGTTTTGGGATCAGAATAGGATGGGATAGGATGGATATAGCAGATATAGATGTGGATATTGTAGATGTAGATATTATAGAATTATAGATGTAGAGATAGATGTAGATATGTTCATATAATCTCAGAATCTATTATAGATAATTCTACATATTATAGATAAACGGATAATTATCTATAATCTATAATTCTATTCTATGAATTAGAAAACATCTATGGTTATAAAATAATTTTCATAACTCATCTATATTATAGATAATATCGTAGCTATAACTATGGAGATATAGAATCTGGAGAATTCGAAACATTTCCGTTGAGGCCTTGGAGGAGCGAGGTGAGGGTCGAGGCGGCCAGGGACGCGGTCTGGGATGCGGCCCCTTTTTGAATCCCCACCAAAATCCATGGTTAATAACGGTTAATAATGGTTAATAATGGTTAATAATGGTTAATAATGGTTAATAATGGGAGAATATATCTGGTTGGTGGTTTGGAACATGGCTGGATTATGACTTTCCATTGGGAAGAAGAATCCCAAGTGACGAACTCATATTCTTCAGAGGGGTTGAATGAAACCACCAACCAGATATATCTATTGGTATCTCGTCATTTTCTCATGCAAATTGCTGTGATTTTTGTTTGCGGTATTTCTATGTATTTCTCATGTTTTGACGTAACCAAAAAATGTGCTTCGAAACCCATTGCTTCGCATGGTCTTGGTGAATATTCAGACCATCCTCGCCATAGTCATACTTTTTGATGGTCACTTGGGATTTTTCATGAGACCCCGGGCATAGTACTGTAGGACTTTTCCTTTTTGCTCAAGGTTGTTTGTATATCATCATTGTATGATTGCATCGGAAGGTCCATAATTGCGGAATGTGATATCTATCCAATGTATATTTATACAGGAAATGTATGCAGATATACACAGGTATGTATGTAACGTCATATCATGTCATGCAATGTAATTCAACGTAACGTAAGGTAAGGACATGCAATGTAATGCAATGCAATGAATCTATCTATGTATGCATGTATGTATGCAAGTCACTGTTTATCTACGATAATATGTATTATATGAACTATATATATATATATATTCACACGCACACATTAATTCATTCGTTCGTTCTTTCGTTCGTTCGTTTATTCGTTCGTTCGTTCGTTCATTCATTCACTCATTCATTCATCCATTCACTCATTCATTCATGTAGACACATACATACACATTCATGCATGCATGCATGCATGCATGCTTACAGACATACAGACATACAGACAAACAAACAAACAAACAAATATACATACAATCATACAATCATACAATCATACATACATTATATATAGATACTTTTTTAGATAGATTTAATATAGATACATGATAGATACACATATGCATTGATACATAGATACGTTTTTACATGGACACATATACACATAGATACATAGATACAAAACTACATATACATATATTGATACAAATACAGATAGATAGATGGATGGATGGATGGATGGATGGACGGTTGGATGGATAGATATATACATATAAATATATATATAGATAGATAGATAGATAGATAAATAGATTAGATAGATAGATTAGATAGATAGATAGATAGATAGGTAGATAGATAGATAGATAGAGAGAGAGATAGAGATAGATAGATAGATAGATAGATAGGTAGATAAATAGATAGATAGATAGGTAGATAGATAGATAGATACAGATAGATAGATACAGATAGATAGATACAGATAGATAGATACATATAGATAGATACATATAGATAGATACATATAGATAGATACATATAGATAGATACATAAAGATAGATACATATAGATAGATAGATAGGTAGATAGATGGATGGATGGATAGATAGAGAGATAGAAAGATGTATACATTAGTTTACCTGTCATAACCTTACATTACACCACATCACATCATGTCACGCCACGTGACGTCACATCACATACTACCATAATCACATATACACATACACAAATACACATGTATGCATACACCTACATTTACATATAATATACATACGTACATACATTCACACATTGATTGAACTATAAACTATACTAATTTACTTCTACTTACGTATACATTACATATTCATATATATACAGATACATATATATATACATGTTTTTAGATATGAATATTTGTTTTGCATATTTTCATACATACACTTTTGGGCATATGATATTGGTATATAGGATGTATTTTGTAAGCATCAGTCAAAACCATGTGTCATTTAAAGTTAACGTCGGCCAATCTTATCTTTGGAATAGTTTTTTCAAATGAGCATATTTTTAGTAGGACCAATTCACAGACGATACTGTACCATTGGTTTACATTTTGCTTCTACACAACGTTATTTACCTTTGATGCACAGGTTGTTGCAGCGAAATTTTAAACAGACAGGGAAGACCGAGATTGGACCATCGGTCTCGTGAGACTATTGCATTTAGAAAGGTAGAACATGTATGCTGTATGCGTCCTGTATAGTTGTTTTTGATCATGCGTTTTTTTTTCCTTAGCATCATGCGCATTCTGTTCTGACATAGTCGTGTACATGTATATAAAGTATATATATATATGTTTATGTGTTAAAAAAAGAATACATAAGATTGCATTTACATATTTACACGGAGTATATAATGTCGTGTTAACCAAATAATAAATCTACCATGTGGGGATGGTACACCAATGTATGGTAATATTAGGGATGGATTCTTATTGGGTTTATCACATTATCATCCATTATTTACCAAATTGTCATCCATTCTTTCAATATTTGGTGGGTAAAATATGGTAAAATCCCAATCATAATCCCAAATTCGGTGGATTTAATCCCTGTTATTCCATAGCTATATCAAATCACCAGAGGGTATCATCCCATTGACATGGGAAGCCCCTTCAAGGCACTGGCGCTGGTGCCCAAGGCGCTACTCCTGGGTGACGTTCAACATGATCGCAGTAATGGGCCCTCCAATCGATGGTTGTTTTGTCATTACTTGAATTGGACAACTTCAAAAAAACCTTGGCTTTCTGCGATACATTTTTTTTCCGACAAACGGCTTTTTGTGGGGGGGAATCCTATTCACCACAAACGTTCGCTATATGCCACAGGGAAAACCAGGATTAAAAGCAAAGTGCTGATGAACTGGCAGGAACACGTTTGCCCTCGGAACATGGATGTTTGCCTGAAGTCCTCAGGTTTGTTTTTGTCTAAGGGAAAACACACCACCAAATTGTTCGGTGAACTATGATGAAAGGAGAAACATAAACCACTGAAAATGTCTAACATGATTTTCGGTGAACTAAAAATTGCTCAGCTATTTTTCTGAAACCTCAAACAAACAATTTCAGAGTTCTTTCCCCAATGGGCCCTTTTTGCCAGGCGAACGTTTGAAAACTTCGTGGTTGGAAGACCACCCGGATGTGGTCCGACTCCTTTTGCCCTGTGAAGATCAGTCCGATGACTCGATGACGAGATGTCTGGAGATTTTGGTTGTGCCAATGGGGATCAAAGCAATGGGGACAGGTTGAAATCACCAAGGATGTATGTAATTTATGTATGTTTATATTATTTATATATATTTATATATTATTTATATATTATTTTTATATATTTATATATTATTTATATATCATATATATATATTTATATATTATTTATATATTATTTAAATATATATTTTTATATATTATTAATATATTATTTATATAGTATTTATATATTATTTGTATATTATTTATATATCATTTATATATTATTTATATATTATTTATATATTATTTATATATTATTTATATATTATTTATATATTATTTATATATGATTTATATATATATACTATTTATATATTATGTTTATATATATATATTTATAAATTATTTATATATTATTTATATTATTTATATATTATTTATATTATTTATATATTATTTATATATTATTTAGATATATTTATATATTATTTATATATTATTTAAATATATATTTATATATATTATTTATATATTATTTATATAGTATTTATATATTATTTGTATATTATTTATATATTATTTATTTATTATTTATATATTATTTATATATTATTTATATATTATTTATATATTATTTATATATTATTTATATATATATACTATTTATATATTATGTTTATATATATATATATTTATAAATTATTTATATATTATTTATATTATTTATATATTATTTATATATTATTTATATTATTTATATTATTTATATATTATTTATATATTATTTATATATTATTTATATATCATATATATATATTTATATATTATTTATATATTATTTAAATATATATTATTTATATATTATTTATATATTATTTATATATTATTTATATATTATTTATATATTATTTATATATTATTTATATATTATTTATATATATATATACTATTTATATATTATGTTTATATATATATATTTATATTATTTATATATTATTTATATTATTTATATATTATTTATATTATTTATATATTATTTATATATTATTTAGATATATTTATATATTATTTATATATTATTTAAATATATATTTATATATATTATTTATATATTTTATAGTCATTTAAGGATCCCGTTGTAAATGATACCGTCTGATAGTGCTAACTAGTGGTTGATAACACTTTGTTGATTTAGTTCACAGCCAAATATTCTTGAAGGATATCAACCAGAGAATAGGTCAGCCAGCCGCTGGAAAGCAGCAACATGGATGATCTGGGTATAGGGATTGGTTAAGATTCGTTGGATGGTTCAAGTCCAATCACAATCTTCGGTCCATTTGTTGTTTCCGGGGTCTTAAAGCTTGACTCATACCGAAAAAAACTCAAAGATCCTTGAGACACAATAAGGTCATTTTCCAAGCTCAACTATACAAGTGTTCCTTCAAACATGGTATACGTATATGTAATATACATGTATACATGTGTATAACTATAGATAAATATGTGTGTATGTGTAATGTAATGTAATGCAATGCAATGTAATGTAATGTAATGTAATGCCATGCCATGCCCTGTCCTGTCATGTCATGCCATGCCATGCCATTTATGTCATGTCATGTCATGTCATGTCATGCCATGTCATGTCATGTCATGCCATGTCATGTCATGTCATGTAGTGTGATGTAATGTATCGTAACGTAATGCAACCTACTGTAATGTAATTGTAATGTAATGTAACGTAATGTCATGCAATGTAATATACGTATGTGTCGATTATAGCATCCCTGTGCACAGTTTGGTCTGCAAGCATTGATGTTTTGAGCAATCCACTGTACGCGGTGTTGGAGGCACTTTTTACATGCTCAGACCTTGGCACCTATCCAAATCCATAGACTATGAAATGATGGTGTGGGTACCAAAGCTTTGGGCAAATAAGACCTACCGTTTGGGAATCAAAGCTGGAGAATTAAAACATGGTTTGCTGGAAAATCTCGCATTTACAGTAATTCAATCATTGTCCCACGAATACCTCCATTTGTTGGCAATGTTCCCATTGTTTGTGAAATAAACCATATATTTTGCTGCTAGATGTCCCTTAAATTTACCCAGCAGGAAATTTCCCAAGAACTTCCCTGGTCGCGACCCCAAAGGCTCCAACAGTTGTTTGAGCTTTGCGAGGGCATTGAAGGAGCAGGCCGGCCACCCATCAGGGGTTTAAAATTGGATAGCAAAAAAATGGATGGTCAATACTAAACATGATCAAACATGTGCAGTTTGTTGGGACTGAAATTCAGACCCCCTAGCATAGACACTGAGAATCATTCCTTTGAACAAAGGATGTAGTTGTCCCCTGTTTGGCACGGTCTATGTTGGTTTGGGGGACGGCAATGGTTTTACTAACCAGGTGCCAGCTACTAACGTCCACTAATCTTCCCAGCAGTTCCAGCATAAGGTGAGGTATGGCATGGCATGACCATTCGGTATGTATTTTATCACCTATGATTTCAGCATATCATATCCCCTTATACACAGATGCCGTGCAGGTCATACAGTACACATCCCCAATCATTGTCAGGCGTCACCTTGCCCGAAGCGTTGGAAGGGAAGAATTGCTGCCACTTGGAGAGCATGGGGGATTCAGCCTGGTTGAGGTCCTAAATTGGGGTTTTGCTGGGATTGTGATGTTTTACAATCTGGGATCCATCACTGCAAAGGCCGTAAAAATGAGGGGTTGATCAGCCACCAGCAACCACCAGCAACGGGCTTGGTTGATAATCGCCGTGAGAAGAGGTGATAAATGGACACCCGTTGGCTGTGAAGAAATGGCATCAACCAGGGGCAAGATATATACATGTTTCCGGAGAACTTGAACGTTACTCTATCGATCTCTATAGATTGTTGACCCTTTTGAGTTCCGCAAGCCCCTGGGCAGATATCTTTGGGCATGTGCAGAGAAATGCCTGATCAGCATGCATCAGAATTCCATGTCTGTTCTATTGACATCATAACATTGAGCTGGAAAAAATGCAATCTCGGACGCAGCATGAGTTCTTTGAGATTCTTTGAGAAGATCTTCCAGTGATCCATGCAAACCAGATTCCCTGCGATTTCCCGCGTCCTCCGAAGTGGTTGATCACTCCCAAGTTCTTGGTCGTTACAAACCCGGGTGCAAATTTCAATCTCACAGTGGGAAAACCAATAGTTGAATTACACAAGTTCTCGTGAAGACATTAGATGCAGTAAATGGCGTGTTTAATGGCGTATTTATAATGTCATATATAGCTTTACTAACTTTACTACGTATCTTTACCTGGGGGACAGCAGTCCCTGTTGTGGCTACATGTCAACTAATTACTGGGCGGTTCACGCAGGTCATTCATTGCGATGCCTCATTGCAAACATGCAAGCGTGGAGCTCAGCGGCGAAGCACTTTTTTGGGGCTGCCCCCAGCAATACCTCCGTGTTGGTCTAATCAAGGCTTGATGCCGGTAGTTTTCATAGAGGCACTTGAACTGGCACTTCTCTTGTCAATATGTTATCTGTCTATATCTGTTCGCCATGATATTTATCTGTGTATGGATCACATTCATATGTATATAATTACATATATAACTTTTATATAACACTAAACTATATATATATATAGTACACTGGTTGTAATGTTTTTAAATGTTACCCAAACATCTCTCTCGTGCCCTTCTTTCGTGGCGATTTCCCAGCAGTCGCAGCATTTCGGTAAAGTTCCTGCAGTGGTTGTAGTCCCACATCCAGTGATTGATCATCATTGCCCAATGCATTGAGTAGCAGGAGCCCCTGGAACCAACCACATCCATGTTACATTAAGTTTGTTGACTCCTTAGAATCATTCAACTATGTTGAACATATTGGACCTTGCAAATCATATCATTTTGGGCAAAGATGCATACATATTATACCTATATATATATACGTATTATGTCTTTACCAGCGAATCATACACCCAATGATGCACATATACCTAATGATTTCAAGTATCTATATGGGTGTATCTAAAAATAGGCTATACCTTCAAATAGCCAATCATTCTTCAATGAATACGTAAAGATTATGGTCCACAACCAATGGATGTCGGGCCCCAAAGGGGGCTCCAACTGACCCAAAACCTGAGGTCTGGGGCGCAGTGGGCAATCCACGCGCAGAGGGAGCAGATTTTGCTCTCCTCACCGAGAAGGGACAGGCGATGGCTAAAAGTCGAACAAAGTCTACCGGGTATACCGAGCATACCAAGTATATCTGATTTTTTTTTGCCAATTTGTTCATGGCTACGTCCGTTATTTTACCCCGTTTTTCCCAAAGTACTTGGAGGGTCCAGGTATGCGTTTGTTTTTTAGTTGCGTGCGTATGGTATAAAACTATGCATATCTACGCAGGGTACAGAATCATGGTGACGGTACTACTGCTCCCGTTTTTAGAGGGGACCTTTGGTTCCGTTTGGAAAACCAGTTGATCTGCAGTTGATATGGAGAACTATGTTTTTTCTCGTTGGACTTTCCCAAAAAATATAATACCCCTGCAGCCAACAAACATGGATCATAATGTCAACACCGGGTTGATAACCCTGACCATTCATTCCAGGGGTACCTCCTAAGATAGTGATAAGATGATAAGTTTGTATTGAAATTGCTATCCCTCTAGTAAGAAACTTTGGGATTTGGTAAGCCTGGCTTAACATTTACTGCAGTTATATACTTCACCATCTTCACCTCTGGAAATATCCAGCTTCTGTCATTGAGTTCATGAGTCAAAGGAGGAACGTCCCAGGTATCACACCACCCAGCAACGTCAGGAGATTCCGCAAAATCTCTGGGAGATTGATCAATTTCTTTCAAAGGCGGGGAAGTTTGCAGTTCAAACATTACTTGTTGTGAATGACTTGTGAAGCATATAATATGAATGTATAAATATGTGTATATATATATACACTACACTAATATGGCCCAAGCCAGCAACCCCCCCTTCACCCCCACGTCATGGTCATGGTCCTGTATGTACGCTGTATGTAGGAGGCTCTATGTAGGATATAGTTTACACAACCCACCCCGCTGTGGGATGGCGGGGTGTTCTAGACGGTATCATGTAGATAGTGTATGTATAGCACATGAGATCTTGATAGTAGCTATAGTATATGGCTTCTATAAAGGTACTCTATGGGCAGTAATACGTTGTAAATAGATTGTATGGGCATTGCCAGGCAGTAGTGAACACTGCATGGAGGTATCCTGTTCAATAGTGTATTGGTGGCACGAGGCCAGCATGTAAGTATAGAATATGAGATCTTGATGGATGGTCGTCGATGGCTAGGCGACCCCCATGGGGGTGGTTGCTGGGAGGGACAGCATTGGGGGGGTTGCCAGCCACCGGCCGGGACCATATATACAGCCGTCAAGACCTGATTTATTCCATATGTTGCATGTCTATGCCTATGCATCCTGGATCGATTGTTCGAATTTTGGAGCATCTCAGGCATGCTATTCATTTTGGTGGGTTGATCATGCCCATAGCATCCCGTAGCCATGCCCAGTTTTCCGATTTTCGAACTGTGATTATGGATGATGATCCCTTCCCCCTAGTATATCATAATTGAATCCCCCCAACAAAACCGTGGGTTTTTGTATTAGATTTCTGTTCTTGTTTTAGGGCCATAGCAGCCATAGGGGCTGCTGTTTAGTATGACATTCCCAGCACCATGGATGCTCAGGATGACGTGAGTGCTCACTATGTCAGTCAGCCACTGAGAAATGGATCAAAAAAAGTCGAGAGTCTATTCATTTGTCGGGTTTTCAACCATACTACAGTTTTTTTTCTTTAAGCCTACATATTCGAAATGTGTGTGTGTGCATTTTTTTGGGAGGATTGTCAGTGCCAGTCTACAGCCTGCTGCTGACAGGTTTCCTGTAGATTGTCGTATCGTTGAATCACAATGTTGGCAGATCATATCTTACTCTGGAAGATATCACAAGAATCACAAGGTTTGTTTCCCATAGTCTTGACTTCCATCCCAATTTAATCTATTTTAAGATCATCAATCCAACTGACTCAAGTCTTTGGGGTGGTTTGAAGCTATTCAGATTTTCTTTGTGTCCTGCTTATTTAAGGGGCAAGACCAGCGAAGACAAACATTCTTTAATCTGGCAACCAACCAGTCATCAACATTTACAGTACCAAAGAATGTCATGGCCTGTCTGCTATTTGAGGCTCAGGGAAAACACGTTTTCAATGTGTTCACTTCTGACATATATTTATACATGTTTTTAAAATAAAAAATATAACCATGGATAGAATGAATCATCTCCATAGATCAATCTTAATGATTGACATCTGACCATCTTTTCACGATGTTTCCGGCCATGTTTCAGGCCATGTTTCGCTGGATCCAAGGCCCAATACGTCTGGAAGAATTGATGAAGACCTTGCACCCGGAGAGCTGGGAGATGCCGTAAGGTGATAGTTTCTTAATTGCTGCCTTGAGAAAAAGATGGGGGGGTTCCATATGTTTCCATAGTCATGGGGATACCCAAAAATGGATGGTTTATGATGGAACATAGTTGAACATACCATCTAGAAATGGATGATGATGGGGATACCCAAAAATGGATGGTTTATGATGGAACATAGTTGAACATACCATCTAGAAATGGATGATGACTGGGGGTACCCTTATTTCAGGAAGCCTCCATATATGTGTTGGGTGGTTTCAACTCTAGTTTCATTGTGTTTCAACTCTAGCGTTACTTTTTTGGATGTCCCAGTGACGAAGATGTTGGTAGGGGATTGGCACAAGAAAAGCAGAGGTGGATGATTGGAATCCCTCATAGAAACCAGGCTAGATCACGATCTGTCGAGGTTAATGAGATCACATACCCTTCAAAGCGGATGGAACGACCCAAACACCTTGAACCGCCAAAGGCCGCCAAAGAACAATGCATCACTTTAATCATGAGCAACTTTTCCTTGACATATCCATACTATTCCATACTTATCCAGAATGTTCAACCCTTTTTTTTTGCTTTTTGTGGGAAGTTCACATGGAAAATGTGCCACTTTTCCAGGACGTCGTGGCGCGGTACCACCGGCAGCTGGCGCGGATGCGCGTCACGGTGGTGTGGCGCGAGTTCCGGCGGCGCCAGTCCCTATTGCAGGGCGCCTTGGGGAACTTGCAAGTGCCGCCAGGTGGGGTCGCCTTGGAGAAAAAAAAGGCTGATTTAACCAGGAAAAACATGAAAAAACGTTAAAAATCGAAAAGATGTTGTTTTTTTGGAAGAACATGTGGATCTAGACACTGCACAGGATTTATAGAAGTACTAAAGATGTTTGATTGGTGATTTTAGAGAGGTTTCTGTCAAGTAGGATTGTATTATATGAGATATCATGATGTTGAATTGAATGTATCTATAAGCCCAGCTATGGTTTTGAATGGTTTAAGAGTTTGTTTACACCTCAAATAATTTGGATAGTTATATAAATTAATGGCAAATATTCAGAATATTTGAGAATGACAGGCAGGGATTATGATGCCCCATGTTTGAGCGAAAGCCATAAGTGCTTCCCGAATGCAGAATACACACAATAATATTGTATACATGATCAGGTATGAAATTCTTGAAACATTGTTTGATGATGTGATGTTGACAGGCAACAAATCTAGGCTATTGTTTTCTTCAGATTCTGTAAGAAATTTAGTCAGAGTCAGTCAGAGCAGTGATTTTCTGTGTCCAATTGTCATCAAATCTGGTTGGTGGTTTGGAACATTAATTTTATTTTTCCCATCATATTGGGAATGAGGGGTTGGGTTCAAACCAACCAGTTATTATTACCTTTTGACCATTATTATCCATCATTACCATAGATAATTCGTTGGTTTACCTATTAAACATGGGTATGGATCAATACCTATTAATACCATTTTTAGGGGAATGAACACCCATTTACCAGCTATTTTGATGTTCACCAGGGGTACAAGGTTTTGACACACTGCCACATGATGACTTTCCATAGCAAACTCTTAGTTTACCAGATGATCGTGGCTTCCGTGGCACCGAAAGCTCTTCTGTATCGGGTTGGATCAGCGATTTGGCGAAGCTGAATTTCCAGCGAGCTACTCGTAGTGCCACGGTTGCTGAATTCGTCGCCAAACTGCTGGTTAAAATCCCTATACGATTAATGAATTTAATGAAGACCACCATGTAAGATACGATATATATATATATATATATATATTTACGTACATATATAATATATATTCATATATATATATATATGTATACAGTATACATATTATCCACACATGTTGGTTGAATTCAATTGGGTTCTTCATGTTTTTCCCAATATGATGATTCAACCCGTCGCAGAACTCGTCGCAGCCAGGGGATCTCGATAAACAGCTGGACCTGGACCGCCTTGTTCGCACGGCCTTTCGGCTATGGCTTGGTATTCTGGGATTTCATTGGATATGCCATGGCAATGGGAATATCTAACCAACACGATTATTAGTTAATGGGATATTAGTTGGGAATATCCATATTTTATTTAATGGATTGGAATATCCATATTATTATTATTTAATGGGATATTCTCATATTCTGTATCATATTCTGAGTGCATTATGGAAAATACAGAGATCAAACATGAAAGTCATGGGTTTGTTTAAGGTGATTTGTTACCATCTTAATTATCTCAATGGGGAAATTCACCATTTGGGGTGGCCTCAAGCAAATCCAAGAAATGGATGATTTACTTATCAAACATGATAAGCATACCCTCTGGTAATTTAACTGGGTGGAAAATGACTCATTTACTTAAATGATTTACCATATTTTTTCAAGGTGACTTTCCATATGCTAAGTTTACCAGAGGGTATATATATAGATCATTTTAGATCTATACAGTGAAGGCCTTTTACAGTTATAAGTTAGGTTATAAGTAGGTTATAAGTGCATAGTGAGTTATAACTGTAGTTAGCCTACTTAACGCAGTTATGCAACTGTTCTGTAACTGCTGTAGTTGGACTTATAAGTCCGGATAAAGCAGTTATAGCAATTACAAAAACAGTTAATAACAGTTGTGATAAGGAGGAAAAAGCAGTTATAACAGTTACAAAAACATCTTTCATTGGTGACATGACGTGGCTTGTTTCATGTGCGTGTGTTTTCTTACGCAGTGTTTTTTGATTGTTTTCATGGATTTTGACATGTTGTTGGCTGCGCGCCATGGATTTGTTCTATCATGTTTTTGTTGTTGCATGGATTGTCCACAGTCGCTTGGTTTGGGTCATGGATTGCGTAGCGTGGATTGTTGGGCTGATTTCTTGCTTGGTGTATGTTATGGATTGTTTATCCTGGTTTCTTGGCTGCCATGTTGTTGCATGCATTGTGATATGTTGCTTGATGTGCGTCATGGATTGTGATTTGTTGCTTGGTGTACGTCATGGACTGTTTATCATGGTTTCTTGGCTGCCAGGTTGTTACATGGATTGCGATTTGTCGCTTGGTGTGTGTGTGTGTCATGGATTGCGTATCATGTTTTCTCGGTCGCTGTGTTACGTGTGGTTGCATTGATCTGATTTGTTGCTTGGTGTAGGTCGTGGATTGGTTTTCATGTTTTCTTGCTGTGTTGTTGCATGGATTGTGATGTTGTTTGATTGATTTGTGTCGTGGATTGTTCATCATGGTCACCCTGAGTCGCATGGATTGTGAAGTGATGTCATGGATTGTGCATCTTTCTTGTTTTGCATGGATTTTGTGGCGTTTGCTGTGGCATATGGATTGCGTTTGGCACTTCAGGTGTTGCGTTTGTTGTAGGGATTGAGAACGGTTTGCTTGATGTTTGGCATGGGTTGTGTACCAGGTATACCACGATTTTTTTGGTGTGTTGTTGCATGGATTGTGGTTTGATAGTTTGATGTAAGTCATGGATTGTGTATCACGGTTTGTCGGAAGCATTTTGATGGATTTTTTTTCTTGATGTGTGATGTGGGTAGCAAGGAATTTGTCGCGGTTTTTGCAAACAATGAATCGCAATTGACGTTTATGTTATGTTTATTGCTTAGTGTGTCGTGTTGATTGTGACTGACTGTTGTTTGTCCTGCATGGATTTTGTTTTGTTTCCTGAAGTGTGTCATGGCTTTTGTTGTTTTTGCTGGCGCTTGGCATGGCATGTTGTTTACTATAAAGGAAGGAAAAATAAAAGGATGGAAACATAATACATTTTCATCTTCATCGATAAAAAAGGATGGAAAAATAATAAATTAAAAATACATTTTACTTTCATGAAGGTTAACTATTTACATGAAACAAAACAAAATATAGTTGAATTAAACAGAAACACAATAATTGAACGTATTTTTGGACATTAGCAAGGTTTAGGTAATACTGAAAGACAATTAGCTAGGTTTAGTTCAGGCTGAAAGATAAAGATGTTCAGTGTTTTTATGAACTTAACTAGGTTTAGTTAAGATTGGGAGAAATATAAATTCAGAAACATGTTGACCTAAACTAGGTTTCGTTAAGACTGGAAAACAGACAAGTTCAGAAAATTTCTGAACTTAACTAGGTTTAGTTCAAGCTGGGAGAGAGATAAGTTCAGAAAATTTCTGAACTTAACTAGGTTTAGTTCAAGCTGGGAGAGATATAAGTTCAGAAAATTTCTGAACTTAACTAGGTTTAGTTCAGGCTGGGAGAGAGATAAGTTCAGAAAATTTCTGAATTTAACTAGGTTTAGTTCAGGCTGGGAGAGATATAAGTTCAGAAAATTTCTGAATTTAACTAGGTTTAGTTCAAGCTGGGAGAGAGATAAGTTCAGAAAATTTCTGAACTTAACTAGGTTTAGTTCAGGCTGGAAGAGATATAAATTCAGAAAAAATCTGAACTTAACTAGGTTTAGTTCAGGCTGGGAGAGAGATAAGTTCAGAAAATTTCTGAACTTAACTAGGTTTAGTTCAGGCTGGAAGAGAGATAAGTTCAGAAAATTTCTGAACTTAACTAGGTTTAGTTCAAGCTGGGAGAGAGATAAGTTCAGAAAATTTCTGAACTTAACTAGGTTTAGTTCAGGCTGGAAGAGATATAAGTTCAGAAAATTTCTGAATTTAACTAGGTTTAGTTCAGGCTGGGAGAGAGATAAGTTCAGAAAATTTCTGAACTTAACTAGGTTTAGTTCAGGCTGGAAGAGAGATAAGTTCAGAAACTTTCTGGAACTGAACATATTTAAATTAAATTGTAATTATGTCCTAAGTTCAGAAAATTTCTGAACTTAACTAGGTTTAGTATTTCAGTTTTCAGGCTGGAAAGAAATCAGTTCGAAAATTTTCTGAACTAACTAGGTTTTAGTTCGGCGGGGGGAGAGATAAGTTCAGAAATTTCTGATAAACCTTAACTAGGTTTTAGTTCACAGCTGGGAGAACTATAAATCCAGAAACTGGTGTAACTAAACTAGGTTTCGGTAAGACTGGAAAACAGTACAAGTTCAGAAAATTTCTGAACTTAACTAGGTTTAGTTCAAGCTGGGAGAGAGATAAGTTCAGAAAATTTCTGAATTTAACTAGGTTTAGTTCAGGCTGGGAGAGATATAAGTTCAGAAAATTTCTGAACTTAACTAGGTTTAGTTCAGGCTGGGAGAGAGATAAGTTCAGAAAATTTCTGAATTTAACTAGGTTTAGTTCAGGCTGGGGGAAAGATAAGTTCAGAAAATTTCTGAACTTAACTAGGTTTAGTTCAGGCTGGAGGAGATATAAGTTCAGAAAATTTCTGAACTGAACATATTTAAAATTAAATTGTAATTATGCTAAGTTCAGAAAATTTCTGAACTTAACTAGGTTTAGTTCAGGCTGGAAGAGAAATAAGTTCAGAAAATTTCTGAACTTAACATATTTTAAATTAAATATGGTCACCCTGAGTCGCATGGATTGTGAAGTGATGTCATGGATTGTGCATCTTTCTTGTTTTGCATGGATTTTGTGGCGTTTGCTGTGGCATATGGATTGCGTTTGGCACTTCAGGTGTTGCGTTTGTTGTAGGGATTGAGAACGGTTTGCTTGATGTTTGGCATGGGTTGTGTACCAGGTATACCGCGATTTTTTGGGTGTGTTGTTGCATGGATTGTGGTTTGATAGTTTGATGTAAGTCATGGATTGTGTATCACGGTTTGTCGGAAGCATTTTGATGGAATTTTTTTTCTTGATGTGTGATGTGGGTAGCAAGGAATTTGTCGCGGTTTTTGCAAACAATGAATCGCAATTGACGTTTATGTTATGTTTATTGCTTAGTGTGTCGTGTTGATTGTGACTGACTGTTGTTTGTCCTGCATGGATTTTGTTTTGTTTCCTGAAGTGTGTCATGGCTTTTGTTGTTTTTGCTGGCGCTTGGCATGGCATGTTGTTTACTATAAAGGAAGGAAAAATAAAAGGATGGAAACATAATACATTTTCATCTTCATCGATAAAAAAGGATGGAAAAATAATAAATTAAAAATACATTTTACTTTCATGAAGGTTAACTATTTACATGAAACAAAACAAAATATAGTTGAATTAAACAGAAACACAATAATTGAACGTATTTTTGGACATTAGCAAGGTTTAGGTAATACTGAAAGACAATTAGCTAGGTTTAGTTCAGGCTGAAAGATAAAGATGTTCAGTGTTTTTATGAACTTAACTAGGTTTAGTTCAGATTGGGAGAAATATAAATTCAGAAACATGTTGAACTAAACTAGGTTTCGTTAAGACTGGAAAACAGACAAGTTCAGAAAATTTCTGAACTTAACTAGGTTTAGTTCAAGCTGGGAGAGAGATAAGTTCAGAAAATTTCTGAACTTAACTAGGTTTAGTTCAAGCTGGGAGAGATATAAGTTCAGAAAATTTCTGAACTTAACTAGGTTTAGTTCAGGCTGGGAGAGAGATAAGTTCAGAAAATTTCTGAATTTAACTAGGTTTAGTTCAGGCTGGGAGAGATATAAGTTCAGAAAATTTCTGAATTTAACTAGGTTTAGTTCAAGCTGGGAGAGAGATAAGTTCAGAAAATTTCTGAACTTAACTAGGTTTAGTTCAGGCTGGAAGAGATATAAATTCAGAAAAAACCTGAACTTAACTAGGTTTAGTTCAGGCTGGGAGAGAGATAAGTTCAGAAATTTTCTGAACTTAACTAGGTTTAGTTCAGGCTGGAAGAGAGATACGTTCAGAAAATTTCTGAACTTAACTAGGTTTAGTTCAAGCTGGGAGAGAGATAAGTTCAGAAAATTTCTGAACTTAACTAGGTTTAGTTCAGGCTGGAAGAGATATAAGTTCAGAAAATTTCTGAATTTAACTAGGTTTAGTTCAGGCTGGGAGAGAGATAAGTTCAGAAAATTTCTGAACTTAACTAGGTTTAGTTCAGGCTGGAAGAGAGATAAGTTCAGAAAATTTCTGAACTGAACATATTTAAAATTAAATTATAATTATGCTAAGTTCAGAAAATTTCTGAACTTAACTAGGTTTAGTTCAGGCTGGAAGAGAAATAAGTTCAGAAAATTTCTGAACTTAACTAGGTTTAGTTCAGGCTGGGGGAGAGATAAGTTCAGAAAATTTCTGAACTTAACTAGGTTTAGTTCAGGCTGGAAGAGATATAAGTTCAGAAAAATTCTGAACTTAACTAGATTTAGTTCAGGCTGGGAGAGATATAAGTTCAGAAAATTTCTGAACTTAACTAGGTTTAGTTCAGGCTGGAAGAGAGATAAGTTCAGAAAATTTCTGAACTTAAGTAGGTTTAGTTCAGGCTGGGGGAGAGATAAGTTCAGAAAATTTCTGAACTTAACTAGGTTTAGTTCAGACTGGAAGAGATATAAGTTCAGAAAATTTCTGAATTTAACTAGGTTTAGTTCAGGCTGGGAGAGAGATAAGTTCAGAAAATTTCTGAACTTAACTAGGTTTAGTTCAGGCTGGAAGAGAGATAAGTTCAGAAAATTTCTGAACTTAACTAGGTTTAGTTCAGGCTGGAAGAGAGATAAATTCAGAAAATTTCTGAACTTAACTAGGTTTAGTTCAGGCTGCAAAAGAGATAAGTTCAGAACATTTCTGAACTTAACTAGGTTTAGTTCAGGCTGGGGGAGATATAAGTTCAGAAAATTTCCGAACTTAACTAGGTTTAGTTCAGACTGGGAGAGAGATAAGTTCAGAAAATTTCTGAACTTAACTAGGTTTAGTTCAGGCTGGGAGAGAGATAAGTTCAGAAAATTTCTGAACTTAACTAGGTTTCGTTCAGGCTGGGAGAGAGATAAGTTCAGAAAATTTCTGAACTTAACTAGGTTTAGTTCAGGCTGGGGGAGAGATAAGTTCAGAAAATTTCTGAACTTAACTAGGTTTAGTTCAGACTGGAAGAGAAATAAGTTCAGAAAATTTCTGAATTTAACTAGGTTTAGTTCAGGCTGGGAGAGATATAAGTTCAGAAAATTTCTGAACTTAACTAGGTTTAGTTCAGGCTGGGAGAGAGATAAGTTCAGAAAATTTTTGCATTTAACTAGGTTTAGTTCAGGCTGGGGGAGAGATAAGTTCAGAAAATTTCTGAACTTAACTAGGTTTAGTTCAGACTGGAGGAGATATAAGTTCAGAAAATTTCTGAACTTAACTAGGTTTAGTTCAGGCTGGGAGAGAGATAAGTTCAGAAAAATTTCTGAACTTAACTAGGTTTAGTTCAGGCTGGAAGAGAGATAAGGTCAGAAAATTTCTGAACTTAACATATTTTAAATTAAATTATAATTATGCTAAGTTCAGAAAATTTCTGAATTTAACTAGGTTTAGTGCAGACTACTAGGCAGATAAGTTCAGAAGATTTCCAAAAACTTAGCTAAGTTTATTTTAGACTGTGGGCGACATAAATTCAGATTTTTTTTGAACTTCACTAGGCTTAGTTCAGATTAAGATAGAAATAAATTCAAAAAATAAAGTTTAATTCAAATTAGTATCAGTATAAGTTCAAATTGTTTTTCTTCGCTTAACTGGGTTCAGTTAGGCTATAGATAAATTCAGAAAAACAATTTCTGAACCTATATATGTTGAATTCCAACTGCAAAATACATTTTTTTAATCATATAAATAAAAATATATACAAATTATAACAACTTTTTTTTTCTGAAACTATGAGTATTTAACTCATTTAGTTAAATTTAATTGAACAATATTTCTATTTTGTAACTTTTCGAATCTGATATATTAATCAAATTATTAAGTTGTATGTTTATTTTTTTTTGTATTTTATATTTTCTTGAAAACACAATAAATTTGGAAAATAAAATTAACCTACACTGAATATGAAGTTTTTTATATATAATTGTTTTTAACAATCAATTTGATATTTTTTAAAAATTCAATACTAACATGTCATGTTATAAATAAAGGTTGGACACAACACAACCAATAGTTGCATCTATTGATTGTTTATATTACTCTGTATGCATTTAACAAAATGCTGTGTTGTTTTCAATGCATATGTTCCAAATGAGTTGTTACAACGTAAGAAAACACATTTGTTTATTCAGATACAAACCGATGTGAAATACATGTGCACCCATGCCATTGCAAGATACATTACAAGATTTGTTTGGCGACAGCCGTCATGGCGATTTGCTCTGCTGCATCCAGCCACTTTGGCAGCTTGTGTTGGTGCAACGTGGTTTCATTTGGAAAGCGACGGCTCGTACCTCTGCTTGCGTTGAAAAATGCCTGCGTCTAATGAGGCTGGCTGCTGCGTGCTACAAGTTGAAGCTAGTTCAGGTCTAAAAGTATTTCAGCATATGGCAAAACAATCTCTTTGCCTGGAACTGACTTAAGAGGAAGGGTCTTGTGCTGCAGCTCGTGATATGTGCATGTCATGGATTGTGTTCGCGACAGCCGTGGTTATCATGGATTGCAACATAATGTGTGTGGATGCACTAGTTGCAGGAAGACTGCAGGAAAACATATAGAATCAAATTCTCCAGCTTCATGATTGCACTTGTCATGATTCATGTTTGGTTGCTGAGGTTTCCTTTCCACAGCTCAAATGATACCGCGAAAGTGGTTATCTACATGCTTTCTTCCTAGCATTTCCTCATGTCCGAACAGTTATAACAGTTACAAAATGAGACAAAAACCAATTATAACAGTTACAAAAACAGTTATACCAGTTATAAGTAAGACTTATAACTGGTCAGATCACGACTTATAACTGTTAAAATAACTGTTATAAGTAGCTTATAACTGTTACTTATAACTGTAAGTAGCAGTTCAGTTATAACTGTAAAAGGCCTTCACTGTATAATCCCAGCCCCCATGCATATTGAACATCCCTGAACGAAATCATCGTTTAGCAGGGGATGAAACCAGATTTGCGACCATAGGTTGGGGCGTTTCATATTAGATAGGATTGTCGGAAAATACACAGATAAAAACAAGAGGTTTCCGATGTTCATCGACCACGTTTCCAAATCGTGGGGTTTTCAAACACATCATGAAACATCGCTATTTTTGGCGGTTGAATGTTCATGTGAAGCCGAAGAAAGGTGATGTTTACGGAGGACGTTTACTTTCGGAACGCTCGCTCCAAGGTCTTGGAAAGGTGGGTAACACCTGATATATCCTCCAGTCATTGAACGGAGCTATTGGTTTAGATGGCCTAGTTGAAATTGAACATTTACCATCCAAACCCAGATATCTCTAATTCCAGAGGGTATCCCAGTGGTTCCCGATTTTACCATAGATGTGCGATTGGAAAATAGCCAGGTTTACATCAATATTTAGATGAAATAGACCTATCAAAATTAAAAGCTTGATCAGTGATCAGTAGTTTTGTATCCCAAATCCCAAAAATTCAGTAGTTTTGGATAAATCAACAATTGGTATCAAACATCCCTTATCCTTAATTTTGGATAAAATCCCTTAATTTTGGTATCAAATCCCATAACATAACAAGATAAATCGGGCCATCCATCGGGTCATCGGCCATGAATCCACCAAGGTGCTGCTGCACTTGGACGAGATTGGCGGCTTCATCTCCTTGTTGGCGGGCTTCTTTAAGCCGCCTTGGCCGCAACAAAAAACACGGCGCCATTGTTTTGGTGTGAGAAGAAATGGCGAAGAAATGGTGAAGAAATGTGGAATTCAATGGATTTCACTATGAAATGTCGGATTTTACCCTCTGGTAAACTAACATAACTATGGAAAATCACCATTTTAAATGGGTAAATCAACTATAAATGGACATTTTCAATAGCTATGTTTGTTTACCAGAGGGTAGATCCTTTTGCTTTGAGTTTTTTTTCAAATTTGCTTCATACTGGTACCTGTGGGTGTCGAGGCATACTGTGATTGCAAGAGACTGGTGGCAGATTTGAGATCCAGCATTTGTGAACACATCCACCCCATTTCTTAAATTTATTCACACACATATATAATTATATATTATATATATATGTACATATATATATAATATATAATAATATATATATATACATATATATATAATATATAATAATAATAATAATATATTTATATAATATATATAATATAATATATATATATGATTATAAATGTAGACTGTAGCTATAGTCACAGTTTTTAAAATAATATACATATATATATATATATGGGATTATATAGGTATAGTTGTCTAAATTTAGATATATGTACAGCTATAGTTGTATAATTATATACATACACAGATACAGACTATTTGAAAAAGAATTGCCGGGATCATTCGTCATGAGGAGCGTCGATTTGGTGAACGTGGATGATGCACAGGTGGCTGGGGAATTTCCCCTAATTATCAGCTGGCTATGTCTGAAAATGGGCTATACCCCCAATGAAATAGCCATAAAAAGTAGGGATAATGATCAGCAAAACCATTGGGTTTTTTGGGGTACACAACATTTTCAGACAAATGGAGGCTTAAATGGAGAAACATGAATTTCATGTGGCTTGCTGGGGGATTTTCCAGCCACGACACTGGAGACACTGGAGATTTTCCAGCCAATGGCAAGGCCATTTGAGGTATCGACTTGAGGGATTCACCGCTGAACCCCATCGCATCTCACATTGGAATCCGAAACAGGATTATAGATGTTCCCCACTACCAAACCTCAAGGCACCAAGTGGTTGAGTGATGAACACAGTAAAAAGTCATCATCATCGTCGTCGTCGTCGTCGTAATTTCATAACCTCATCATTTCATCATCACCAGGATGTTACACATGGATAGACACGTCTACTCAATGGTGGGACAACCATGCCAGGCAGGTCACGATGCCCGGCCAGTGATTGACAGGCCAGTGAGTCACGGGGGCCAGGTAGAGAAATGGAAAACGTGGAAAACGTGTGTTGTACCCGACGGGATGTTGGTGGGTTATTATGGTGAACTATACTGATACATACTGATACTCTATCTGTATGCTTCAGTAAACGATTTAGCTTCATAATGTAGATTGATATAGTATATCCGTATGTGTCAATAAACCCACGGGAATATACGAACATCAGCGATCAACACAGGAGAACATCTGTCTGGTAGCTGGGGGTGTTCACCATGGGTTTGCTTGTAAAGGTGACATATCATGATATATGATGATATATGATAGGTTATAGGAAGGCCCAATCTGATTCATCGCGTATAGTGTATACTGTATATCCATCAGAAATATATCATCCTCATCCTCATCATCCTCGCCGTCATCATTCATCATCATCACCATCATCATCATCATCGTCGTCATCGTCATCGTCATCGTCATCATCATCATCATCATCATTCGGCAATCTTTTTTTTTACAAAAAAACATAAAACTAATTAATTAATGGTCCAGTATATGCTTGCTATCGGTACCATTGCGCCAGGTCACAGGCAGGCTATGCCATGCACGTCGATTGCGGGCACAATGGTCCCTTGGACGAGGTGGGGTGCGATGCCAAGCACCGGATTCAAGTGCCTTGGAGATGGAGTGCTTAATTGAAATCTTATATATATATATATGTATTTCTGTATATATACATATATATATATATGTATATATATATAATGTGTAAAATATATATATACACATACTAGATCATGCAACATGTATATACAGTGCGTCAAATGGTAAGTGACAATGTTAATCCATTTCCCCTTTATGACATGTGTAAATCACCCAAAATGGTCATGTTCAGCCTGTGGAAAACAGGTGGATTTGAGACAGTTGGAACTGCACCTTCGTGTGGCTCACTTCGGGATGGCCGCGGTGTGACGCGGTGCCGCTTGGACTCGAGGTTACACATGTTCGGAGGGAACTAAGGAGCTAGGGTATTTATATGTCCTATGAAATGGGGAACAAAAGATCTACTTAGAGTTTCCCAACCATGTGATCGATGATCAAAAGTTGGATTGTTGACCTTTAAAATGGTGATTTAATGGGATATTCATGAAAGAATAATACACAGCTATTGGATGAACTTGGATGATATACAGTAGCCATATTGGGGGTGGGTCATCAATCCACTTTCGCAGGGATAACAACATTCCCATTATTCAATTCATCCTACGTATATCACTTGACGCGTAGCACATGGGGATTTTGTTCCTTACCTGGTCGATGAGGACTGATCCCCAATGGATGATACCATCCTGAAACCTGGATTCAAAGATCGGCATGATGTTGCTATGATTTGCTATGGTTTTAAAAACTTGAAGCAGATTTTATTGATATCGGCATGGACATTCCGAATGTCATGCCTGACTGTGTTTTTTTTTCCGTTTTGAAAAAGCAGAGTTTGGAGATATTGGGATGATACCCCCCCATGAGGACCATTGTACCGAACTAGACCCAGGGTGCGGCTCTGGCGCTGGAGCGACAATTTCTGAGCGGATGGACAGAGCCCGAAGCGTTCTGGAAAACCCAACAGACATTTCTTTTACAATACATGGAGGTTTCCTAAAATGGGGGTACTGTACCCCAAATCATCTAAAATTAGACGATTTTAGTATTTGACCCATCCCTTTAGAAGAACTCCCCACATGTATTCTTGAGCCTTAAGACTTCTTCAACATAGATGTTTGATTCTTTTGTTTGGTATAGATTTTTGATGATTTTGAACTTGCCTCATTTCTATCGCTAGGATATTTATTAGATATTTATGTAGATCGCTAGCAACTACCAATACTTCCGCTGAGCGCATGGTAGGATTATCCTTTACTGCCACCAGCAATCAGTATGTTTGTAGCGGGTCAAGTCGTTCAAGTTTCCAAAAGGCAATTGAACCTTGAAGTTGAAACTATTAACTGTGCATTCATGAAAGTTCGCGATTGCAGTTCCACGGTCATTTAAAAGTGGAGCATCGTGGAACTGATGATTTAGGAGCAATACACTAGCATGATCTAGCACGGCTGCAACACGAGTGAAGGAGTTTTTCAGTGCATTTTGGTAAGGTTTACTGAGTGACAGGATGGTTTGGCTCGTCAATTTTTTTTAGGTGGACGTTTCACCTGGATAGTTTGCGTGGAGCAACAGTTTGCTGCTTTCGGGGGGGTCGCAACTCTGTGGAGCAACGAATTCAGACATCCCGGGATTCTGAAATCTCACCCAGCGGTTCCTCGTGATGAATCCTCGGTTGGAAAGTGCCAGCGTTGTCAGGCAAGACATCGAAAATCAATCGTTATTGTATTCCAAATTGAGTTATTCATTAAAGATATCTATACATAGCATGTATATCTATATACATATAATTACATATATATATTATCATATCATATATACATATACATACATATCGATATACATGTCTATAGACATATACTATACTGTAGCTCTACAGCTCCAATCTGTAGAGTATTGATCCATTTTTTTTGGGTCCCAAGTGCTTGCGCAAGTTGCAGGAATCGTAGGCGACTCACCTTGTATAACCCAGTTATACATGGAATAATCTCATTCCCTATTAAACAGCCCCATGGTTAATGGTCCCAATATTATAATATGTCCCATGGTTAGTGGTTTCATTCCCTACATCCACCATGGTTTCGGGGGGTGTCTTTGATATTTGGGGGATAGGAGTAGTCCTTGTAGGACTGATCGTTTCCATGTATCAGCCACTTAAACTTCAAGAGAGTTCAGCCATCGACACATCAACAGCAACCCTACTTGTACCAGCACAGCAACAGACCACTTGGAATCACATGCCCTCAGGTTTGTTTGCTATTTGAGTGACTAGATGACATTTTTGTGACTGAACATGTTTGCAAAACATGAATATAAAATATTATAAAAATAATTTATATTGGTTATTTTCGGACTATGTTGGAAAAAGAAGCACAATACTTCTTCTTATTTGGGTGGGGTAGGGTTACCACATGGCATGTCAACTTTTGGTGATTTCCAGTGGGTCGCCAACCAGCGCAGTTCATGGATGGATACCCGGGGTCGCCAACGCGCAAGGAGCCACCAGCAAATTCCATTGCGCTGGACACCAAGAAAAGCCACATGTGTGTGTATATATAAATACATATGATACATATGTATAGAATTGCATTTACATATCTAACTCATATATATATATGCACATGTATACATTCCCAATGAATATAAGTCACAATTTGTTGTTTCCCTGTTGAAAGCAGAAAGTTCTCTTTGCAAAGCTCAATTGCCAGAGAATCGTACATGTGCTTTTTTCCCCACCTGCCAGGTGAGGGTCTCCTCCCTCCTCGTCCACTTCTCTGCCTCTTGTGGGTCACGCCTGGGCCCGAACAGCTCCGGATGCAGTGGGTCACGCCTGGACCCGAACACATGTCAGATAGAACGCCAGATAGAATGTCAGAATAGCTGCCAGATAGAATGTCAGAGTATATGCCAGAAAGAATGTCAGAATATATATGTATGTATGCCATATACTTTCAGATCGTATGTCAGAAACTACGTCAGAATAGTGTGTGTCAGGGTGTGGATCACTCAAAGTAAAGCAAGTTTTCTCTTGGTTGATTTGGTTGGTTATTCACATCCTCTGTTGGAATATCAATGTTATCGACCTAATGAAACATACATGAAAAACACGTCCACTTCCAGGTTTCATTATTAGACGGTAAAAAATCGGAGTATTTGGTCCAAAATCCTGGTGTCTTCCTTTCCTTTCGCTGCTGACATCAGTGTTTCGGCTGGAAATCAGGAGGCGGCAGAGTTTCAGAGGAGTCCGGTGCGCGGTCGCCCCACAGTACCTTGGCGTGTCATTCCCAGTCATGGTAGTTGTTTATGGCATTGGGTTTCCCACACCGTTGTCTACTATATATAACTAGACTATATATCATATATGATCATATATGCAGTTAAATGGTATATGTATGTATTATGTATCATGGAGAGAGATAGATGTTATACATGTATAATAATGTGTCCAAGACATACTCTCACAATTCGGTTTTCGCCCGACTTCACCAGATTGTTTTGGACTGCTCTGGTGGGATATTCGGGTAGCTGCTCCCTGCACATTAGCCAGCAGTTGTATGCCCCTGAGAATATGGAAACCGATCAAAATTGGGCACACAACTCGCACCAACTGCCATTAATGGTCCGGACCATTTGCTGCAATTAATGTGAAAACATCTGTGCAGGAGTTGTAAAGCCGTGTGGAATTGAACGAAAGTGAGAATGCTCTGGAGGAGTCTCCATTCATCACAGTTGAGATATATCTAATTGTCACCTCAAAGTATGACCATTCTGCTTTTTGTTGTGCCTATTTACCTTCCGGTAAACTATCCAATAGCAATAGACAATTTGACAGTGGCCCATTCACGAATGATTTTCATGGATTTTTTCAACCGCCTGAAGGTGAACAAATTGGTGCCCAAGAAACTTACTCGCACGACCACTGATGATACTCAAACTGCTATCAATCGCGTGGTTCCTTGGTGGGCGTGTTTCGAAAGAGGGTATCATTACCCCCAAAGGGAATTTTTGATAAACTCTGGGATTTTGAGGTATCCTATTTTCAGAAAAACGCAGAGATAGATAGGAGTTTTCTGCTTAGATATTGTTGTGATGTCTGAAGGAAGTATTGCTGTTCGCGACACTGTTCGCCATGGCCTCAAATTGTTCAAACAAAAAAAAATTCCAGCCTGCCTACAACTTGCGACAAGACTATAACCATTTGTAACAGCTATCGTTCCGGAAGTATGGCTAGATGATGCTAGATGTTTATTGAGTCGACGTAATGACTTAGGAACCAACCATTGCGTCTTCAGAACTAATTACTCTGTTTAAAGTTTAATGAGTTCAAATGAGTTTAATGACTTTACTGACTTAAAAACACGCTTCATGGAGTAGATCCTGTGATAAAGTAAGAAAAAACCTCCCAAGTGACGCTTGTTTTTTGAATCCCATTTTAGTTTGGTTTCGATTGGGATTCCCCCGTTACATGCGGGCTTGAGCCCATCTGTGGCTTCCCGTTGCCAGGAGAGGTGCCAGCAAACAACCATCCGTTAATTGTGAACAGTGGATATACCTACATTATATATATTTTTATATATACATATACACCCCTCATACATCTATCCTAATCCCGTAATTACATATGTAGCCAGGTGTATATATATATATATGTGATATGCATACTTATGCTATAAATTCTATACTTAATTCTCTACATATTGTATAGTGTATATGATATAGTCCCAACCCTCAGGTGCATGAAGCCTTGGCACGCGCGGAGGGTGGTGCCACCCTGGCGGAGGAGGTGAGACGTCGCGTGGAACTGGTCTTGGAAGCGAAGGAGGCGCCAAGATGTGCTGGTTGGTGATGCTCAAAATTAGGAAAATCACCATTTCTAATAGGTCAATCAACTATAAATGATATAAAATACATTTTTGTTGTAGCCCTGTTAGTTTACCAGAGTGTATAACCAAATGGTGCTTAGGGGGTGAGATGTTGGGAGAATGGTCTGCGTTTTTTACTTGAATACGGCTAAGGGTTGTGTTAAAAAATCCTCTTTTTCGAGGTAGCGTCGATATAAAATGTCTTAACACAACCTTCAGCCGTTGTTCTTTAGAGAAACCTTTTCCCGGAATGGGGATTGATCTGGGCTGATATGGAGTGATTTGGAGTTGTATTTATATATATATATAATATAATCATCATATATAATAATAATAGTAATAATAATAATATATATATATATATTCATCTACATAGATTCACATGGATTCATGGCAATTGATGGGGATTGACGGGATGAGCAAAACATGAAGATTGAAGCCGAAAAACATGTCAAAGAAAAACATTTCAGCACGAACTGCTGCGGAGTTCTGCGACAAAACCCTTCGGAATCTGACCGGCCAGAAATGGGCACACCAAACCAGCGTGCTTTAAATGAAAACATCAAACGTCTTTCAAAATCAAGTTGGATCATCACCTAATCTCCAGACCCAAATAATGTGTTCAATTTACTTGGTCGAACTATAGTATAACCGAATAACCCACCCGACAAGAAACATCCATCTACGTTGAATTGGTTTGACCCCCCCAAAAGAATCTTACAGCCAGAGTAAGCAAAATGTAACGGAAAGCAAAGCACAAAAGCAGCTTGGATGGTCAGAGACACCATCAAGATCAGCAGCATCAGCGACAGAAACATCCAGGTTTCGGTGCAAATGAAGAGATGTGCCGTGCTCTACCCCATATTGATGTCCATCAAAGAATGGGGAACGTGATTATGGATCACATGTTATTTCTATGACACAACATATATGTTGATATATTGTGGGGTTTTATTCATCCATAAATCCACATCATTTTTTGCGGTGTTCATCCTGGCATTCCATGGGCACCGATATTTTTGGCGATCCCAGGATGAGCTCAAAGGTCGTATCACGCACCAGCAGCGTTTGGAGTTGATCTTTGGCAAGGGCTGGGCCCTGGGCAG